AAAAAATCTCAAAAACTTAAAATTTCAAAAATAATTGTGAATTATTGGGTGACCCTAATTTTATGCTCGGCAGTGTAAATAATTGAAGTGAGATTAGGGTTGCCAACATTCCCGAATTAGGCAGGAGGCTTACTAAACCTCCCGCGTACTTAAACAAAACTCCCGCTTTTCCCAAAAATAGAAATTACCTAATGAAATAATGATTCTAAATTAGGTGCTCTTGTTTGCTTTTACTATAAATTTAATACTTCTCTATAAATCTGCAACCCCTAGTGTACTGCAAAGGTATAGCTTTGTTCCAGCACTGTTCCAACTCAGCAGGGAACCGTACATTCACTAAATTCTACCGTCATGATTCTGCGCAAAACGTAAAATTTGTGCGTAGAATCTGAAATTCTTATACAGAGTGGTTCCGAAGCCGTTCTTAGGACGGTTTTTTCGCGGGTTTCGAACAGACCTTATTGTGACAGTGTGGCACCACAAAAAAATTTCGCCCGCGGCGAAAGAAACATTTTTCCCTTCCAAGGACTACCTCTCACTTTTCTATTTTGAAAATCTGGCAACCCTAAGTGAGATGCGAGCTGACTGTTGTCTGTTATCGCTGTCGGCTATCGTACGAGTAATACGGTTCCAGGAATTTAAGTAGAGCTGGGCATGGCTATAGAGACGGGCGTAATGGGCTATTTCACTAAAATTTAAATACGTAATTTAAGTATAAAATCTCAAAGGAGGGACTATTTTAGGCATATATATATATACCAAAAAAAAATGTTCTACAAGGTTCAATAAGTTTTTCACAGGCAATCAAAAGTGGCCAAATTCAAATTAATTTTAAACGCGCCGATTTGCCGACGTCACATAAATATTCTTCATTTCGCTTATGTTGTTGCAAGGAGGACCGGCTCGGCTGTGTTTGCGCTCTGTAAAGATACGTAAAGGTTCGAATGCGCTGTTGTCAGTTGTGACTAAATGTAGTGCAGCGTAAAATAAATAAATAAAACTAAACATAAAAAATTGTATTAAATTGTGTTTAAGCATAATTTAAAAAAAAAAAATGTTATAAAATCTTGAATCTATAACTAATTAATTTAACTACTTTTCATGAGATTTTGCCAACATTTCAGAATTAAATCTATTACAAATTTTCAATGTTGACAATTAGTGGCAACACGGTCAAATTGCGAGCTGCGACGTCACAGAAATAAATTCTGGGTTTTTATTTGGAGGTATTTCTTTGTTTTCTGTTTTCTCAAAAAGGACTTCGAATTTTTCAAAAGTAAAAATACAGAAAATTCTGTTTTTAGTTGCTTTATCCAAATATGCCAATTTCAAAAATTAGTGAAAGAGCCCATTGTACTTACTTATTTTTTCTATACGTATGGGTAGTAATCCCTAAACTAACTTGTAGCTTCTTGTTTTTCTTTTCGTATTATTGTTCAAGAAATAAAAACGTAATAATAAAGAGGATACATTGAAATTTTAAGGGTCGGTACGCGCTTCGCGCGCCGCCCCTAAGATTTTGCCGCCCGGTGCTACTGCACCCAAAAGACCCCAGGGTTAAACCGGCCCTGCCCTAGACCCTCGTTTGCTGCTTGGCGAATACATGTTTTGATCTCCTCGTACAAATTGTTTGCTGTGCTATATTCTTGTATTGTCGAGAGTTTTTGAGCGAGTCGCAGTTGGTATAAGAATTTTGTTGAGTCATCATCGTTAAGGCTTCCCAGATTATATTTGATATTGGACTCTTCGTTACCTGCTCGTCGTTTCCTTGTTCGGCTACGGTTTTGTAAGAGAAGTATATTTTCTCAAGCAGAACATGGTGGTCTGATGCGCATTCAGGTACCCTCATCACTCTAACATCGGTTATCTTTAGGTTAGTATGTATGACTATTAGATAGTCGATAATCGACTTAAGATTTCGTGTATACCCATGTATAGCGATGTATATCTTTGGGTGCAAAAAAGCCATTGGTTATTTTTAGTTCTGTTTATTGACACATCCCTATAAGTTTCTCACCATCATTTTCACTTACAGTGTCTTCCCCATGGCGTCCCACTACAGCATCATTTTGGCGAATCCCAGTTCTACCATTTGTATGTCCTAGTAGGATTATTTCTTTTCGGTCGCCGATTTTTTCAACTACAGTCGTTTGTTCCTTGTTTGATAGCTGTAGCATCGTTCGTGGGAGCATTAGGTAACCGATTGCACCACTTTGGTATTTTGGATGATTATCGCTACGTCGAGGATTCTATCATTTTCCCGGTCCCATGACTCAATACATCTCTTATAGTTTTTCTTGACCGCGATAGATACAGCACTTTGGCCTCGTTGGTCGTTATAGGTACTCCCCTGTATGTCTGAATATATTAGTGCTTGTCTTCCGTTCCCTTCCCGTACTTCTTCGCTTCTGTCAGGGCTGCTATATCGATGTCGTATTTTTTTCAGCTCTCTAAAGACTTCATATTATGTTTTGGTGGCTATTATTTGAATGTTCCATGTTGCGATTCTCATAATCCGTTTCCGTGCTTGTTTTCGTCGTAGTTTTCCCTCCGATACCGAGGCTTTCGTGAAAAATTTTAATGATCAAACAAAATCATGTACCCAACATCAAATTTTCACCGATTACTTACAGACTGCTCAAGCTCCTGAAAATGGTCTATCAATCGAAATGCGTCGAGCAATTGGATAAAATTTTATGAAGTAACAAGGATATCTCGTTTCAATTTATTAATGTACCGACTTCATCCTGGAGAATCCCTCCAAAAACTTGTAGTAGTGCTAGTTTAGTGGCGATTTTTATGTTGAAATTTGTACTACGTGACAATTGTTATCAGAAGTGGAAAAAATGAGTGGAGAAATTTTCGACCAGGGCCAAAAGGAAACGGCAGGAATGGAAGAACAAATTAACCCCATTGTTCGCTTTTTGGAAGGTACGGACGGGAATAGAGGAGAAGAAAAATACCGGTTCCAGAAAAAAATAAACACAGTCCGAGATGAAGTTAAATGCAAAATAAAAACAATCCGAGAAGAAGTCAAATGCGAAATAGAGACAGTCTCATAAAAAGACAGTGCGGAATAGAAACAGTCCGAAAATAAGTCGATGGTGAAATAGGGAAGGTTAGTATAGGATTCGAAAAGAAAAAGAAAACTGGGGACAAGGACGAAGAAAAGTCGCGATGAACCCATCAACAAAAGTGACAGCAAAATGGATGTGTCGGTGAGGCCAACTCAAACCCCCAACTTTCGCCGACGAAACATCTGATGGCAACATTTGGGACCGCTGGTATTGCAAATGGGATTAATAGCAAAAAGCAACTGCATTGGTGCTGGCATTACTAGGAAAGTTGCTCTACATTTATCAGATGATTCTCGAGACACTACAAAGTGATTACGCAAATGATGAATACGCCTAAGAGCTGGAAAACATAGTCGATGGCCCATCGAAGACGGTGCAGGAATCCAGTAACGACATCAAGAGAATGGCCCGGTTAGCCTTTCCACAAGCTCCTGAAGACCTCATTGGATAAATAAATATCCAGGACTTCACTGATACAATTAGTTTTGCGAAAACTCACTATAGAGATGTGCTTGGTGGACAAACAGCTGTTGAGCGTGAAGGAAGTGTTCGCTAGGATTCGAAGTGCCAAACGAACATTGAATACAATAAAGGAGTGTATCCTATTCCGGGTGTAAGTGAGCTTCCTCGGGCATGTCGTATCTTGGAAAGAGTAACACAATACCACAGTTTCCTCTATGGGCGAAAGCTCCTAGTTAGGACCGATTATTCTACCTTGCAGTGACTTCTCAGTTTTCAAAATCTGGACAATCATATCGCGCGTTGATTGAAGAAATTACAAAGTTACGACTTCCAAATCATACATCACAAAGGAAGAAACATCGCGAATATCATGGGTATTGATAACTTTCGCAAGTTTTGCCAAAAGCAAGAGGAAAAGAAGGCTGCCAAAAATTCTTGTTATGTGCTGAAGATAAGGGTCAAGTATGCCAAAACGGAGACGAACATGACCAGAAAAGACTTCGGAAAACAACAAAATGCTGACAAGGAATTGGAATTGGTACGTGGCTGCCTAGAAAATCTACAATCACCTGGATTGCAAAAATTTTCTCGTTGGGTTCGAACGGTAAAGAAATACTACCTTTAAATAATTCGTTGGGCCTGCAAGAAGTCTCATTATCACGTAAATAGCAGAGTCCAGATGGCTAGTAGGCTCGAGTAAGAGATGTGTATGACTGGATCAACTAGCGTAGAGATATCGAGCAAGATATAGTGCAAGAGATGCGAATTCTGTCCTTCGGAAGTAACAACCCAACTGGAGATCTCGAGGAGAAATGAAGCAATATTTAATTGTATGGTTCCTTGTATGAAATTACGGAGTATATCGATAGTACTTTTCTTACAACAGATTCGGGAAATAAATACCTTATAGTTCCTATAGACTTTTTCAAGTTGGAGAAGTAGTTCTAATAGCTAATACCCAATCAAGAGGCAGTTACAGCTCCTGAAGCATATCTGGAAAACATAATAGCAAGACGCAGGGTATCGTTGGTACCTACCTACTTTAGAACAAACAGGGCAAAAATTTTGACTCCGAAGTATGGAAAAAACTCACAAAACTATTGGGTATTTAGAGAACCACAACGGCCCCACTTCATCCACATTCGACGGAATTATTGTTGCTATCGGAACTTCAATTAGTACCTCTCAATGTTTGTAAATGAACACCCATCGATACTGGGATAAACAGTGAATTTCAATTCAAGAAGTTTTGGGTGTTGTAGTAGTTTCAAACGGGATTTATTTATGTCCCACTTATTCACGAACCCCCTCACGCAACGTAACAATATGATCGGAACTGTCGTCAATCCAAATGCAAAATGTTAAATCAATATATGAATAGGTCATTGGTTTGAATCCGATTTTTGAAAAAAAAAATCAAATGTTTTTCATTAATTGCACCTATTGCTAACGTGTAATTACCAATTTGAGCCGTGAATTTGCCATTGCCTTCAATAGGAGCTATCAAAATCCTTCCAGTGACTTTATATTGTCCTTCTAACGATATATTTTCTACAGAGGCTTGGCAGAAAAATTGGTGATTTGGCACGTCAAAGCTAGAAAAGAATTTAGTTTAATTAAAAGTAATTATTGGTAAAAACGGTATAATCGCAGTTATTGATTGCGACTGGTTACCCTAATAATTATGTAATAATTACATAAGGACCATCAGGTTAATTATAATGTATTATTTAATAATTGTATTATTAAAAAAATACGTCGTTATTCGAGTGCAAACTATGTACTTACTCAAATCTTGAAAATTTGTACTTTGACATTCCATGAATAAGTACATTGTTCAAAACGGCCTTGAAATTTAGAGCATTAGTGCCTTGCTCTAGTTTCAGCTCTGGCAACATAAATGGTTCGAAAGGGGGTATCTTCAGTTCTGGCACACCTTTAGCTGAAAAATTATTTGATTTTTTATTGTATATCAATTAATGCTAAACCAAAATTTGTACCTAAATAGGGTCGTACTTGTTCAGTGGCATTTAAAAGACACTGATTAAGTTGAGGGTCGTTTCTATAGCACGTTGGAAAATATGAGGCTAAAAAATAAAATGTTTAATAGGCATTGTTTGCTATAAGAACGACTTACGTCTTTTTATTCCAGACACTTCATTGAAAACAATAAAAATTGCAAATAGACTGTACAAGTGATTCATTGTTGGTATGTGAATTCAATTGCTAGTAGATAGTTAGACTGAAAATTTAAAGTGTTTTGCTCTTGTTAACACTAAAAAAAAAACTCGTTTTAAATAGCCAATCAAATATGTAATCAATATTAATTACTCTCTGTGGCCAATAATTTTAATATATTATTTCAAATATGATCTGCAACTGTGAATTGGACTCTTTTTTTTTGCCGATAAAGATGGGCGTTAATTATTGCTGTTTATATTTTCAAGATTCATATTTAATGATGTTGCAAAAATTCAAGGGTAAATACCCAAGTAGCATTTTGACGACGATAACCACATAAAACACCAAAATTAACGTTGTACTTAGTGTAGAGTTTAGGCATTTAAGAAATGACGCTCTCTTAACCACTGGACAACGTCGTCTTACTGTTGCGCAGGAATTTAGTTAAGTTAAACTACGACGTTGTGACAACGTTTACGCAACCGACTACAATAAGTATTAATATTTTGGGAAGTTATGTTAAACGTTTTCTCGACGGAGATCCGAACTTGTCAGATTTAACTAAGCATAGTAGGCAGTTTCTCAGTTGAATTGAAAACGTTTCGGCGGAGTCACCTTTTCAACTAACCTTTTTTCAAATACAACCTCAAAATAAAAAAGTCGTTCAAGACCATCAGACCATCAAATTAAAAATGAAAGGAGCCTTGAGCCTTCAGATACGCTGCCTCATATTAGACACAAAAAAAAATTATGTCATGAAGAAAATTCAGGGGCACAAGCCTACATGAAGACAGATATCCGAGAACTTAAGTTTAAATTTAAATTCTTCTGGAACAAATGCCAACCCCAAGGCGAATCTGAATGAAGAATTAATATTAGCAGGGAAAGCAACTAGTTTTCTAGAGGACCAATAGTTGATGCAGGATAAACAACTCGATCATGAGGAATGGATTAATCAGATGGAACCGAGTAAATAACTCAATAATGAAGGAGAGATTAATCTAGACTAGACTAAAGGAAGAAGTTATAATAGGGCATGGAGAGGCACGTAGGCGCGATCGAAAATTGTGTATTGGGGAGTGTTCATCGTAAGTTGAACAAAGTTCAGTTTTTGGTCCGATAAGCAACTCCATAGTCACGCCTCGGGAAAAAAGTTAGTTTTCTGGCAGACTTACGTGAAAAGTTAGTATATTTTTAAGTTATCTGATATCCAAAGTCGCGTTGACGCCTATTATACTCCTACGCCATGTTTAAAGTATATTCTGTTTGGAAACGTGGTCCCGGCCATTGAAATTTGGTGCATTAATTGCCGTTTGCACCGACGATTTGAAGGGCGATTTAAAGATAATCAACGCTTAAAGTGACATTTTTACATGCATAAATGTCACTTTAAGCCTTGATTATCGTTAAACCTTCCTTAAAATTTTCGGTGCAAACGGCCATAACAGGTATAAACAAAGGATTGTAAAGCCTTTTTTAGTTTTCTAAGAACCATTCATATGCATTCAGTTTAGCCCGCATTTGAAGCAATATCAACTTCAAGTATTGATTGTCTAATTTTTTTTTAATTTTGTTTTTTTATTTTTCAGTTTTGAGGCAACGGATTGGAGGCGCGCGTGTTTTATGGCATAAATCAATAGTACATTCACCAGTAAGTGATATGCGTTGCTGATTTCTGTTTGTATATCGTATTCTTTTCGGCAATATAAATAAGGTAGGTATTTGAAGCATAAGAATAAGACATTCAGATACGGTAGTAAGTTGAAAGAAAGTGTCCATTTTGACCATCAGTGAATATTTGGTTGAAAAATTTACCACTAGGGTGCGAAATAGCTAGTTCGCGCACGGCGTCATGGAAACGTTGAAAAATCAATACCTGGGAAAAAAAGTGTCACTTCGCCAACTGTCATGAGTGTGCGAACATCATCATTTTTTGACAGTTGTAGAAAAAAGTTTTTTATGTCCGATTGACCAATAAAGTGCGATTTATAGAACAGTTTTGCGTCAATAACGTAGCACTTTATTTTACTAGTAAAATAAAGTGTTTTATTGCCTACCTGGACTACCTGACATGGTGAAACAGGTCTTGACAACCTGCCAAGGTGAAACAGGTCCTGACAACCTGCCAGAGTGAAACAGGTATACCTACGCGAATTTTAGTTTTTTCATTCAATTTTTTCAATTTTTAACAAAAACCAGTCGGAATCGTACATAAAATCATGTATATAACGCTTACATAAACAGGCTTTATTGACTCATTATTTAAAAGCCTCGCTCGCAAGCTCGCTCGGCCATAAAATTATTCGTACAATAAAGCCTTACTTTATGTACTTGTTATATAAATAGCTATTTTATGTACATATGTCAAAAAAGCACTATCATGTTACCAACTTATTCACATATTGTTCTTAGGTGCAAAGCTCTTAGAACTTACAAAAAATAAGAAAAACCAAAATAGGGTCCCAAAACTCTATTTATTGAAATTTTTAATTTAAAAAAAAGAACTTATGAATGAAAAATAACATCGATAATCAGCGTGATCTCCTCTATACTCGAGGTACGCATTGACCCGCCTTGGCATTGAGAGAATGATATTGTCAATCTGTTCTTGACAAATATTGTCCCATTTCTGTGATTACGGCTCCGGTTTAAGCGGTCAGCTCTATGTCCTCTAGTAAGCCTAGGCACTCTTAAGGGTCTTCTCGATCGCAAATTGGCACCAGCCAGGATTTGCCGAATTGTAGGCCTGGAAATGAGTCTACCGTACGTTCGTCTGAAATGCGCTCTTATCGCTGTGACACTGATATTCCCATTACGTCGAACAAAAGTGGCTAAATATCCATCCTCTCTTTCATCTGTAACACGAGGACGCCCACTACCGGTCTCCTATTCACATCTCCAGTTTCTTGGAACAATTGCACTATTCTGATGACAGATGATCTGGGAATGCAAAGTCTTGTCGAAATCCACCAGTCTTGTTGGTGCGTAGAGCGATTATTCTGGCTCTATCAAAACCGGAAATTCGATGTCCGGGCATTTTTGAACAATTGAGAGCAACTTATACTTTTCGAGATTTACAACAAACTGACAATCTTTGACAAATGCTATAATTTAAGAAAGAGATAAGGGTTTTTGGCGTTTTTAATTTTTGACAAAAAACAGGATTTTATACGAGATTATTTATTGTAATTTTTGTATCTAGTGCGCGAAATGCTACTTTGTTTATCCAGACCTGATTTTTTTAACGAGGCGCAGCCAAATTTAAAAAATTGTCGATATCACCAATGTATTTGGCGCACGAGTTGCAAACAATATTTTTTCTACAACTCCATTTAAATATAGATCATTCGAAGCTTAAATTGCATTTACAATTAAAGGCAGGTGATTTTTAATTATTTTTGGTTTCCTGTCAGGTGTCAGGTATTTGTTACCTGAGTCCGCGAACAAGGCATTTCGCACACAGGAGAGTTATTTCTTGCACGGCGTCATAGGAACGTTAAAAAAATCTATACCTGCGAAAAAAAGTGTCACTTCGTAAATTGTCATCAGTGTGCAAACATCATCATTTTTTGACAGTTGTAGAAAAACATTTATTTAAAAAAAAACAGACTTTATATTGGTATAGTATCACGTTCATATTTCATCTGTCATCATAATAGAACCCAAGATTGTCATAGATTGCCGATTGGAATAATTATTGTCCGGTAAAAAGAACAAGGATGTTACCTACGAAATATCTCTGGTGTTAATACAATCCAATTCTTTGGACAAAGTTCAAACTTTCAGCCAAGCATTTTCAAAGAGGCAAGATCATTCGGCCAGAGGAAACCTGGCTTTCCCTGTACAAGCGTCATCTCACTGCCTGTCCAAAACCGCTGTCAACATATTGGTTGTCAGCGTCCAAAAACTTCTATGTGATGAATGGCAGAAAGATGATAATAATAGTCGTTCGGAAGGCAAATCATAATTTATGATACCAGAATCGCTCTTTCCATTGCAGATTACGCCACATTTAACCCTCGATATTGCCTAATTGGGAAAAATGTTTCGATTCTATGTAAGTGATCATACAAGCTGTCGTTGCAAACATAGAGGCATATTAAATTTCTGCCCTATATACATCACGGAGTTTAATGGAGGTCCATCCTCAGCTATCTTGTTTTTGAATTTTGCTTGTTCGGTTACCTATTCCTTTTCAGTTCGATCTTGTGTAAAAGATATTTCTCATCGTAGACCTGCTCCATATTGTCCGTCGTTTTTAATGTGACACTTTCCATATGAGGAGCGAGGGGGTGAATCATATGGCAAAGACAAGTGTGAGGTCAGGTGACCATTGGCGACCTAATATAGGGAGCCACCAGATCAGATTCCTTTGGAGTAGGTATCAGATTAAAAACGACGGACTGTACTGTCTCGATATTCTGATATCCGCATTTGTCACATGGTTCCTCAAGAACTTGTTCATGTTTAAATTAATTTCCAATCGACTTTTCGAAGGTCATGTGGCCCATTTGCAAAGAAATGAACAGCGGCATAGGGAATGATTTCGAAATTAAAGTGGAGGGTGAGACTGATGTAATGTTTCTCAAAATTACCACAAGGACTGTGATCTAACTCCTTCAATTCGCACTAATTAAAACACGTTCTTTTGGGTTTATATGGAAAAGTTATATGTACAGGGTGACCCACGGTGGATGGCGTATTAGACGTTTATGGAGAACTAAGAAGCGGATCATTTTGAAAATTTGGCAACCGGGATAAACGACCATAATCTACACTTTAAAAATATTTTTGTTTATACGGTGTTGCCGCTTCTACTCTAAACCAGTGGCAACATCGCAATTTTAAATGGAACACCCTGTAGGTGATTGCATATTTGGATTCTACGTAAAATTCTGAGCAGATTTTATGTGATATACTCTATACCTAATTTCAACTGTTTTGGAAATATTGACAGTTGAAAATTGACTTTTTGCAACTTTGACAGGCTGTATAACCTAAACGGTTAATTTTAGAGCAAAACCGATTTTACATTCCTATCTTAGATTTTTATAAACTATCATTTGACACCAACTTTGGATTCAATCCATGATTAAAAATTCCAATTAAATTTAATCTCCGGTTACATTCAAAGTTGTTGTCAGATCATAGTTTACGAAAATCTAAGATAGGAATGTAAAATCGGTTTTCCTCTAAAATTACCCGTTCAGGTTTTACAACCTGTCAAAGTTGTAAAAAGTCAATTTTCAACTGTCAATATTTCCAAAACAGTCGAACTTAGGTATAGGGTATATCATATGATATCTGCTCAGAATTTTACATAGAATCCAAATATGCAATCACATACAGAGTGTTCCATTTAAAATAGCGCTGTTGCCACTGCTTTAGAGTAGAAGCGGCAATACCGCATAAACAAAAATATTTTTAAAGTGTAGATCATGGTGGTTTATCCCGGTTGCCAAATTTTCAAAATGATCCGCTTTTTAGTTTTCCATTAACGTCTAATATGCCATCCACCGTGGGACACCCTGTATTTAAAAAGGTCAATGTTGTATTAGAAATGAACACTTTTCCAGTACCACGAAATATAATGTTTACAGCCTCAATTTCGAAATCTGAATGTATCTTTTTGATCTTCTTCCACCAGCAAGAAGGTAAAGCAAAAGATCTTAGCTAAATCCAAAGGGTGTTTCTCGCGCCATTCTCTAAGTTTGCACAATCATAAACTTAAAACCTATTTGGGCATTTACAAAAACATTTGACGTTACCGCCAACGTAACAATAATTTATAAATTGAGGGTAATGAAATGAGGATTGGAAAAGAATACTAAACTTTAGCTGTTAAACCGACCAGGCACATCCGTTGGGTCTCTGTGAAGCAGATGAAAATTAATATGGACATGAAGTATTATTAGATAGTATTTATGATTAAAAACAAAGGGATAACACTACACTGAGATCATAGATCATTGCTAATAAGTATAACGATTTCTTACTCTCCGTTGCGCCAAAGTTGCTAAATGGTTTGATTCATATTCCTTTCACCACTAGCAATGGCGCTAATATATATATTCAATGTTCTTACCTATGTTGTCTAACACCAGAGAAAATCTGTGAGATAGAACAGAACTTGAAAACAAAAAAAGTTGAAATTCCAACAAGAATTATAAAAATAACAACTACGGTTCGTGAGGTTGTTCTGTGTGATATCATAAGCAATTCCTTCGAGTTTGAGATCTTCCCTGAAAACTTAAAAGTGGCCCTAATAAAACGATGGTATAAAAAAAGGGATTCTAAAGTTCTGGGCAATTTCAGGCTCATAAGTAAATATATTACCATTGCCGCCATGACTATAATAGATTGATTGAAATGAAGACACCTTGAAAACAGAGAAATGGCACTTGGAATGTTATTGGATTATCCAAGGCCTATGATTTTTTTTGGATAGAGGTTAACACATATTAAGAATGGAGAAATAAACTGTAAGAGGTATTGTGAAGAAATGGTTTATCTCATTTACCTATTAACACCAGGAGACACGCTGTAACAGTAACAAAAAAATGGGAAAACGTTTCTCAAAAATTGTATAGAGGGATGTAGGAATTGCACAAGGGAGTAGGTATATTTGGCCCAATCTTGTTCGTAGTATTTTGAACGACCAACGACCTTGGCATGGTAAGGAATTCTGCTAGCCAACATATTATTAAATAGGCAGATGATACAAAATAATCTGATTGTCATGGTCATGCAGCAGCAAAACATTACAATTGGTAGCTAAAACTGTGGAATTCTTGGACATGGTGGTTACGACTTGGTTCTGCGCTAAAAGAGACAAAAACATTTAATTTAGGGGGAACAGTCTGGATACAAATGAGAACCAAAAATTTTTTGTTTATTTACATAGAAGAACACCTTGATTGAGCATTCCACATAAGGCAGTTAACTAAGAAGCTGAATTCTATTTGTTATGGAGTTAGGAATAGGATAGTTAGTGGTTACATGCATGAGAGCTCATTGAAGCTATTAGAATCTGCCCACCTTGAATCTGTTCTAAAATGTGTTACCATTTTCTGAGTGAGGGACACTATTTTGCAGACTTTGGTGTTATGACGGTATATGCAGTGTTATGAATGCTTTAATGTTTTTTCTTTTGCGATAAACATTTTTTTGATAGTAAAACGGAACACACAATACAAGATCATTAGATTTTAAGTACAAGCCACATAGACTCACGGACAAATCACTCCAATATTTGTTAGTAAACATAGAACCATAAAAAAGATTTTTGCGCAGATCTATAGTAAATTTGTAACACTGTGATCTTTTGAGTTTTGTTTAATTTCATGTACTCTTTTGTCATATCATTATTGTTTTTATTATTTCGCTGCTACAGCCTGATGCATCAGCTTCTCGACTATTCTCACCGTATCTTCCATATCGTCAGCTGTCAGTAGGTACTACACCAATGCAATGTGGTTTTCCATTTCTTGTATCTGCCATTCTTTGACTTGAAATACCCCGTTCAATTCTTGCTTACAAAAATCTGAACAGAACCTCATAGTTTCTTCACAGAATATTTAGTGAGTTTATTTTTCTCTCTAGCAAAATTTATCCATCCGGAAAAACAATTCGATAACAGGTAATAGGGTTTGGAGGGCCACACTATTTCCCTTAAATCCCATATATAAAGTTATGTAGGTATTTGTTATTTTTTCTAAGATTCCAATTCCTCCATGAACAATTTCTTAGGTCTGTTTAGTGTTCGTTTACATACTATCTGTCGGTGTCAGTTTCAATCAATTAGAAATTACCGAATACTATGAGTATCATATTCATATTGCATATTACATGACACTTCAATAATTGCTGTCAGGATACTAAAAGGTAACAATGTAAAAAATAGTTATTTTTGTATCAAGGGCGCGAAATGCTACTTAGGTGATCGAGATCTGATTTTTTTAACGAGGCGCAGCCGAGTTAAAAAAATAGTCGAGATCACCAAAGTATTTCGCGCGCGAGTTGCAAACAATATTTTTTCTACAACTCCATTTAAATATCAATCATTCGAAGCCAAAATTGCATTTTCAATCAAAGGTAGGTGAATTTTAATTATTTTTGATTTCCTGACAGGTATGTGTCACCATGACACCCAGTGTGTGAACTAGCTATTTCGCGCACGTCGTCATTGGAACGTTAAAAAATCAATACCTGGGAAAAAAAGTGTCATTTCGCAAACTGTCATGAGTGTGCGAACATCATCATTTTTTGACAGTTGTAGAAAAAGAAACTTAGGTACTCATAGGTACTTAGCAAAGGAAATAAATAAATTTGATAACTAATTTATTTATAAATACACTAGAAATGCATATAAAATTTTGAAAACAATCTATCACAGGCCCTGAAATACTTTAGAAAAGCAAAATAATTTTGTTTTTCTCCAAACGTCAAAAAAGCGTCACTGTGTTAACCCCTGTCAAGATGTCAGAAACTTAATTTCTATGCTGCTAGGCAAATCCAGCGGGTTAACACCTGTCGAGGTGGTAGAAATTTGATTTCTATGCTGCTTGGCAACCCCAGCGGCAGCAAAAGTACTTTTAGTGCCGCTCGTACTTTTACTGCCGTTCAACCATCCACTTGCCCCCGAGCTTACCCCATTCGTTTGGAGAAAAAATAGCGTGTTGCATACGGAGTAGAAGCACTTTTTTGTGCTTCAGCAGTATTGCAAGCCTCACTACGTTCGGCTCGCAAACCTAGTGCTTCAGCGCAAAAGTGAAGCTTCTACTCCTAATACAACAATATACTATTTATTAAACGTATAAAAAAAGTTACTAGAATATAATCAACAAATAACCAAATTTAGGCTGGTAACCATTCGGAAACCTTCAAATTAGCCAAAATTTGATCAGCTACAACCCTGAACAATTCATTCGAAGTATCAATAAAAATAGGATTAATGGTGTCCATCACTTGTCTGGGATTTTCGTTGAAAAAGTCCGAGATCATATCGGCTCCAAATTGAAGTTCGGGATTTTTGGAAGTTAGTTTAATCCAACCGTCTCCTACCACGATTTTCGAGCTGACTTTTTTCACTTTGAAATATTCATCACCGTTTCGTTTGTAGGTGTCCAACGCTCCTTTAACATGGAATTGAATATCAGCTGAAAATAAAATCGGATACTTATTTTAAAAGAAAAAAGATGATAAAAACTAAGTGTTCCTAGAATATTTTTTCTGTCGGTTTGGTTCTGCAAGTAGAATATAGAGGGTGATTTTTTTTTCTTCAATACCCCTCCACCCATCAAAAAACATAAGTAAGTAGTGCGTGGAAATTATCAATAGTAATATAACGAGTGCAATGGAAATTATCAATAATTTTTGGGAAATTTGCCCGAATGCATTTTTAGTTGAAAAAGAGCACGAGTGCCTTTTTCAGTTAAAAACGCATGAGTGCAAATTTGTCGAAAATTATAAATATATTTCCATTGCACGAGTTGTATTTAATGAGAGAATTTCATAAATCAAAAATTTAAATTTTTTGTCAAAAAATGTCAAAACACCAGTTTTCGCACCAGTTAGTATGCAATTATCTGATAATTTGCACTAGTGCAAATTATCGCGTAATTACAATCTGATTGGTTCAAATCAACAATCAAAACATGTCAATTTATTGTTGGAATACCAGTTTTGACAGATGTATGAAATTCTCAGTAGTAATATAACATGTGCATTGAAAATTAATCATAATTTTTGGGATATTTGCACGAATGCATGTTAAGATGAAAAAAGCACGAGTGCGCGAAATGCACGAGTGCTTTTTGAGTTTAACAAGCATGAGTGAAGATTTGTCAAAAATTATCAATCTTTTTGTAATACACGAGTTTACGAGTTATATTTTATCAGAAAATTTCATGAATTTGGTTATATATATTCAGATGTTATGTTTTTTCAAATAAAAATGTTTTCTTAAGTAACAAAATAAAAATAAAATAAAAAAAGATATTGAAATTTATGCAGCTAAATTATCAGGAATCAGGCGATATTCACATGCTTCTGGTGGAGTTCGTTTATCCTTTATGAAATACGTTTCAAGTAATTTAATTGTTTAGTTAGATGATGATCGAATTCGCTATAAAATGTCCCTAGAGATTAATACGGTTTCTAAGACACAAAGCTTAAAAGGTTTTCAAAATTTTATTCTAAATTACTAGAGCAAATATCTCAATATGGTACGACTCTAATAGCTCCCATATGATCACTCAAATATTCACAAATTAAAATTTTAAAACAAAATTCAAAAATTAACCCACAGAATTTTCTTGATGTATCTTTTTGGGTTAGTTAGGTACTGTTATTTTGGAAATAGCAGGGTTTTTTGATCTTATGAAAAACTTACAAAAGTTTCCTTTGAAGAACCCTTTACTTTGAAGAGGTATGGCCAAAAGTTGTCCGCTAACGTCATATTCCATTTCCATATAGCTCCATGGCAGGGTAAGATGTATTTCTCCCAAATGCTTGATAGGATTAGCCCTAGAAAATTTGTTTAAGCAAAACAAATTTAATATCACTCACAAAGCTCTTACTTTAATGCATCAATAACAATATTTCTTGCCCCTTCAACTCTAATATTCCTGCAAATAGCGTTGATGCTTACAACATCATTCAAAGTCCTATTCACGGTCATTAATGGAAGAATAAAAGGGTCCATTGGTGGCAAACTGACTTCAGGAATACCTTTCATCAAATAGGGTCTCGATTTTTCGAAACTGTTCCACACGCATTTTTCGTATTGAGGATCTGAAGCTTTGCATATGAACGGTTGAAGGTAGTCAGCTGAAAAAGTGTTATTGAATTAAAAATGTGCATATTAATAAATTGATGAAATCTATAACGCAACTGCATAAGTAAACTTCGCATCAAATTTTCCTTGACCCAATGTTGCCTAACGTGTGATTTCTATGGGTAATAGTGGGTAATTAGGTGCTTTTAATGAAACAAGTAAATGCCATATCGTTTGTATGTTAAAAATTAGGTAACAATCTTGCAAAATTGTAATAAATGTTTCATTAATCCTATAAATCTGGCGACACCGTTTTTTGGAATAGCAAAACTCTCTTCGATCTTGCGGTACTCTAAATTCAATTCTAATACTAGATTTTGATATTTCAGGCTAGCAGAAGCATTAAAAAAAAAATGATTGTGAAGCAATAAAAATTTTCCCGCGTTTTCATAGCATTGAGTAGATACCATCTCTCGTAAATTATAAGCGAGTAGGCCCAACCCGACAAGAATTGACAAGATTACCAGCAATAAAAAATGAGAAGCACTAGAATGATACACCTCGAAAATGTAGAAATCCGCCTTGAAGGGGTAGAAAACACCCCCAAATAGAAAATATCCAGGAAACACCAGCCAATGTAAAGAAAGAACATTCACATGAAACAATAGTAGAAAAAATCGGAGAACGACTCAGAATCAAAAATTGACAGAGAGAGAAGAATATAGTATTTTACATTATTAGCCAGGTAAAACAGTTTTTACTGGCGATTGAAGGAAATGACTAGCGAGCCGCCAGGCGAGCTTGTCACCTTCAAGAGCCAGTAAAAACTGCTACCTGGCGTATAATGTACAATAATTTATTTGTTACTCATTTGTTAAAGATATAGGGACAAATAAAAAATCAATACATAACAAAAATTTGAAAATTTATATGTTTTTCCTTGATTTTTTCTCACAGAAGTTTTGGTAGTTGGTATAACTATGAGAATGATACGTTGTTAAGACGTTGTTTCTAGTTATAAATAGGTTTTTTGACAGATTTCCATTTTGCAATTTTTTTTCCAGAAATGAATTTATTACAAGATATTATTAATGAAGCTGCAGTCGTAGCCAACAGTTTATCACCAGAAAAGTCTCCCAGAAGGTACCTACAAGCAATTATTCTTGTGATAAAACCGATTTTTCAAAAATAAATAATTCTACTGACTTGTAAAAAGTTTTTACAGTTTAGCTGTCAATTTTACAAGTCAGTAGAGCCAGTAGCTTGTAAAAATCAATTTTCACTGGTTATGTTTTGACTTGATAAGTGACGTTTTACAAATGAGTGACAAATAAAATATATTTATCATTGATAAGACGGAAGAGGACAAAACCTTACCAAATAATCTGGAAGAGATAAAAGAAATGCCGATAAAGATGCTAGACTCTTCAAATAGAAGTCTTGAAAGTCCTTTCAATTTATCCATAACATGATCGTAACTCTGAGCTGATGGAGGCCGAAAACACAAAAAGTCAGGAAAAAATAATACGGCAAAAATTCAACAAAATAAAAATGACTACAAGGAATGCTCTAATCGTTATCTTTGGTTAAAAATAGTTAATGACAACGAGACATCTAGTAGCTAATTGGACTAATTTTTTGGGGATTTAACTTTTTTTGTGGCAAATTTTAATTATCCTAAAATTTCTTTATTTTGATTATGGCAGTTAGTGTCACCGACCTTACCATTGGAATCTATAATGAAAATCAAACGTTAGATTGTGAAAGTATCGTTACGTAAGTTACACGAATGAATGGCTACTTGGATAAAAGGTTTGTTCGATTTTTATGCAACCGGTATTATTTATTAAGGCCGTCATTATAAAGTTAATATTTTTTTTTCAAGAAATCGCTATGTTAATTAAGGTTGTTGACTTAATATGGTTGATTCCCTTGGCACAATTTGGATTCAATAATTTTCAACTGATTTTTTCTTGAATGCACAAAGTTCTGAGCCAATAAAATTTTTCTCTGTGTTTTAAAATCGATAAATTTTTCTCAATGTTGAAAATATTCTATTGATTCACAAATCAGAGAGATTTTGACTCGCTGAACGATTAGCTTTTTTTATTTAAATTTTGCGTCTGCGAGTCTGCACCCTGAAACGTTAATGATGGTCAAATAAGCTTTCCTTCATGCTATGAAAAGCTATCAATGAAAATGTCTATTTTCGAAATTTTCAGAAAACGTTAGCTGCTCGGTCGGCTCTATCATCTAAGTATATGGTCCATGAGTTCCTTGTTTACGTCGACTCTCCATCTTGATGAAAATATCGACATTTCAAAATAATGCAAACTGGTGAGCCTTTCAAAGAGCAAATGCAAAGGATACAAACCCACAAAGCTCAAAACTTTACACAGAAAAAAAAAATCGTCTAATTCTCTCCATAAGGATAACCTGGTTTTGATTATAAGGTTTGCGGAAGATTACATCCCGAACAAAATCCAAAATCTTAATAGAAAAAAATCAAATAGCAAAGGCGCCGTCGTAATAGAATACCATTTTTGGGGTGTTCTACTAAAAACATCTGGAAGTCGACGAAGCCTAGTTCTTCCAGAACTCTTCCATTTTCATTATATTGATAATGTTAATTTTACTTATTCTCTTGAATAAAAGCAAAGTGAGTTGTTTGCCGATTTACGTATGTGAAATACCATAAATATTAACTCTAAGTGGTTGGATAAAAATAATGGTGAACAATCAAAGATACAATCAGGTTCCAAAGAAGATGCATATTTAGATTGCCAATTAACTAATTTCAAGGCTCCAGACTACATAATAATATTTACTTAATTAATTCGATTCACTTAAACAAAAAGAAACCAAAATGTAAAATAACTTACGGACTTTGGCATAGGTTCCAACGATCAAAGCACAAACAAAAAGCAGGTAATGTGTCTTCATTTTATTTTATTTGTTGTTCTTTGGTTCGATGTCGTTCGCAAACTTAAAATTGATTCAAAAGATCTATCGGCTTGTACTACCTAAACCGGACGCCCTTTCCACTTTCGGTTTCAATTTTATAATTTCAAGGCGCTCCTCGTCACCATAACGTGCAAATACACCTGAAATTGTTTTGTCTTTGTCGTTAATTAAATGGAAAAACGAGGGAGGATATTATTTTATGAAGGCCAGACGAACTGGCTATTTATCTAAAAAATGCAATATTTTGTTAGCTTTGCACAATAAGGTTGCGATGGTTTATTTATATTTCCTCTAGGAAGTTTTGTTGCGTTTCTTTAACCCACCCAGTTTTTTCTAAATTTTACCATGTCTTGAATAAGTGAGTAAAGTAACTCATAGGTACCCCCTTCCTATTCCTGATGGAGTAGGGGCCAAAACTGTTTTGTGATAATGAGGAGGAGGAAAAATTCTTTTTTTTTCTAAACAACTCGATGCCTGCTGACAGTTCGTCCAGGATTGTACAAGTTGCTATTTTATTTTTTCTCTATATCCAAATGGCTTGAAAATGTGAGGTTCTTTCCAAAAAATTGTGTGATTTGGTTTAGGATCTGTATAAAGAGAATCGATATTATTTTGTATTTTTCTGGCGAAAAGATCACCCCTAATGAAAGTATAAGATTCAAAAACCCCAATCTTCAGACGATTGGGAAAATATTATTTTTTATTGTTGGCTGGAGAATATTATTTTTTCTTTCTTTTTTTTTGTTCTTCAGCCTGTTATCATCCATCTTCGGATATAGGCCTCCCATCTGTGATTTTTCTATCTTGCAAAGTGTAACGCCAAACTCCATTTTACATGGGTGACTTCCTTCAACCTGGTTTAAGTTTAAGAGAAGTCATAGTTGATCGACATCGTTGGTGAAAAACTCTGCTTCTCAGGTGAAGTAGAATATTTTGTTTCTTTAGTATCCATGAAAGCTTGCCAAACCTGTTGTTCATCATGCAGTTTCTGACGTTTGATTGTTTCCGGTATCTGTCCTAGGTAGATGTATTCGCTGACTTTTTCCAAAGAGTGGTTTCTCTTCTTCGGCGTTATTTTTCATCAACTCCATTTCTTCCGATGCCCTTGTCAGCTGACGTCATCAACTGAAGCCTATCAAAACAGTTAGAAATGGTTATGTTATCGTCGATGAACCAAACATGAGTTATATATGCCATTACTAACGGCCAGTCTAGTTTTCTAAATAGATCCTCCATTGCTAGCGTGAGAAGCTTCGGTAATATCACATATACTTGTCCAACCACTGAGGTTGGTGTTCTCTTCCAGCTGTACTCCATTTGGCATTTCTGTAATGACTGTAATAGGCTCTGCCAGGGGCGGATGGGCCGGCAGGGATTTTGGGAAGTTTCCCGAAAGGCCGCTTGCTTCCGGGCCGGTCCAACCGACCCCACTTTTCTAGATAGAGAAGGATTTTGATTCTCTCTCGTCAGTCTCGTCACAACTGCCTATTTTTTTTTGAAAATCACATGATTAGTTCTCAAGATAATCACTGTCAAATTTGCCATGGGATAAATAAGAAACAATCTTCTGGCCATGTTATTCTCGAATTAACACTTTCCTGACTTTCCTCTCGGACATGCCAATTTCCATTTTTTGTGTGCTTATGAAAAAATAAAAATTGGCCATATCCCCACTATTCATTAATTTATTATCCTAAATCGAGCCATGAAATTTCTTGATCTGAGATTTAGAAAAATACATAAAATGGTATTAAAATGAGTATTTTATATTTTTATTTCCAAATACCCCTATTATATTATTTCTATTCTATTCTCCCCTGGGGTGTGCGGACACCTGCACTGGAGCTCGTGGCTCATTGTGCCCCCCCTGAAGTTTTCATGTCAGGTCCACTCCCTTATTAGTAAAACCTAGGATGTCTCTGATATTCGCTTTCGCGATTTCCTTTGGTTTCGTTTCGGATACTGTGTCCCAAAGTGCCGCTGTCTTCGCCATCTAAGGTTAGGACATTGGCATAGTTCATGTAGGGGTGTTTCATCTTCCTCTGCACACCTTTCGCACAGCTAGCTTCATTGTGTTTAGGTGTTTTCTGAGAGGGCAGTGTTCTGTCAACAATCCAACCACATCTCTTAATTGTCTCCTGCTTAAGCTGAGCTGTTCTTCTGTTCTGCTCTTAGATGGTCCTTCCATGAAGAGTTTGAACTGCTTGAGTCCAGGAAGATCCATCCAGAGTTTTTTGTATTACCCCTATGAAATAATACCGAAAAAAATTGGGACTAGTAGGTTTTGAAGCTGCGCGACCTTGAACTTGAAACAAAAATTGGCTGCGGCGCGATCCATTCACAGCCCCCAAAATCAAATACTGATCTGACCATAGAGATCTGGCAGTCCGGGTCGGTGTCAGCGGCTTCCCGGGCCGGTGTCAACGGCTTTCCGGGCCGGTTTTATGCTCCCCATCCGCCCCTGGGGTCTGCCTGTGTTGTGAGTCGATTTAAGAGTTGCTTATTACTTTTTCGGTGACCCATAGCTAAATGGTATCACATCCCACCATTCCCATCTCAGGGGAATATGCTGTTTGTTGATTTTTTTCTATAAGTTTTTTCTATTCTTTGCAGTTGCCTATTTTAGGCGATAGGCGCCTAATGATGATTTTCATGGACGTCTTATTATCTGCGATTATTTCGTGTCCTTGTGAGGATATGTTTTACTTTCTTAAGCTAGAGGACAGGACCAAAAAAGAAGAAACTATCAAGCTTTCGGCAACGTTTCGGAATATATTTTTCCTTTTTCAAGCCCTGTAAAAGAGAGTACAGGCACTTAGTACAACAATAATTATTTTGTGAATAAATTACATTATTTAAGCGAAAAAAACAAATAAATAAATTTAAACGCTCGGACACGTCGATGTTTGATTTGAGGGGGAACTATTTTTCAGTTTTTTTCATCCCCGTAGCTTCAACCCCCTAGCTAGGGGGAGAACAACCCCCCAAATTTGAATAGGGAATAGGGGTCGTGTCATATCTCTTTTTGAAGGTTTCATCGAGTTCTTTATGGCCCTGGAATTTCGTCTCATTATTTTCATCCGTAACGAAATGACAGCTTGTCAAAATCTTGGAAATAGACTATTGTTTTAGTAGGAGTAAGAGCGGTATTTACCTCCATTAATGAAAATACGAGTGAAAATACCTACAATTTACAATTCTCGTGTACACCTCATTAATAATAATAAAAAACTTCAATTTCAAGTATTTTTATTAAGGGAGGTAAGTATCGCTTTTACTCCCACTAGAACTAATAGTCTATTTCCAAGATTTTGACAAGTGGTCATTTCGTTACGGATGAAATAATGAGATGAAATTCTAGGGCCATAGAGAACTCCACGAGACCTTCAAAAAGAGATATGACACAACCCCTATTCCCTATTCAAATTTGGAGGGTTGTTCTCCCCCTAGCTAGGGGGTTGAAGCTACGGGGATGAAAAAAACTGAAAAATAGTTCCCCCTCAAATCAAACATCGACGTGTCCAAGCGTTTTCCCAGATTCTCATCCCAAATCCAATAAATCGGGGTGGACTGTTTTCCCTGGGACACCCTGTATATACGTACCAGTGTTGTTGAACTCTTATATATTGCATTGTCTGCATTGTCTCGCCAATATAGCTTTTGTCGCATTCACAAGGTATTTTTTAAACTACTAAGCTTGTTTTTCCTTCTGGTACCCTATATCTTTAAGTGGTGTAAATAAAGAGCTAGAGGTTTTTGGATTGTGAAAAGCTAGTTTTAGCTCCGAATTGATAAAGCATCTTCCTATTTTTTGAGGGAGACCATCAATGTAAAGAAATTTTAAGTATTTTTGTTGAGTTTCAGTGTTCCTTTAGTTTTTGTTCTAAATCTATCTATGTTTCTGTTTGTGAAACTTAAGAGGGATAATTATTGTTGTTCATTAATTGTTTTTTGACTTTTTCGATGTTGGCGGTATGAAAGTCTGGGTGGCTTAGATTGATGGCTCTATGTAACAATCCATTTATGATTCCTATTTTGTTGGAGAGAGGATGGTTTGATAAATAATTTAAAATCCTACCAGAACTAATGGTTTTTGAATACCAATTTGTGGTAAGGGTACCATTAGATTTGCGATGGATCTCTATGTCCAGGAAACAGATTTTGTTCCCATTTTCCATCTCCATAGTGAATTGGAGTGATGGGTGGCAGCTGTTGAAGGTGTCTAGTAGTACATTCAGTTGGTCCTGCGGAGCTGACACTGTATCATCAACATAGACAAATATGAATGGGATATGGAACTGTAGACTTTTTAAAACTTCAGTGATGAGATGATTCATGATAGACGATAGACCAACTAAAATTGGTGACGCAGGATTCCCCATAGCTGACCCATCTTTTTGTAACTAAATATTACCATCATAGGAAAAGGAACTTGCGTCAAAGCAGTAATTTACTAGGTCAATTAAGTATTTTCCAGGCACATCTGTGTAGTTGGAAATAAATCTGTATTCAGAGTTAATAATATCCAAGACTATTTTCGTTCATGTCCTTCAGGTACTACGTGTTCTTTTATGACCTCTGCAAAATGGGAAGAGTCTTTAATATAAAAGGGGAATGTTGTTCAAGGGATTGAGTATTTTGTGGAGATAAGCTATGTTGTATATCGGTGAGTTGACACAGCTAGCTACTGGCCTAAGATGTAAACCAGGCTTACGTGTTTTTCTCACTGAGTTATGACGTTTTAATTCCTTTTCCTCTCTGATGCTTATCAGGTTCTGTGTTCTTAGCTTAGTAACCATTTTGTTTGCGATAGCCTGAAATTTATTTGTGGGGTCCTAGTTGGTGGATGGTACCTATATGTTAGTGTCATTTAGCATTTCAACTAGTTTTTGGTGGTATCCACTTTTATCCCTAGGAGTGGAGTTTCCTTTGTCTGATCGACTGACAATTATATTGGGATGGTCCTTAAGGAACTGTCTTGTTTTACTAACTTTACATAATAGGATTTTATTAGCAGTTGAGTCCTCCTTTCGGTAGAAATTGGTGATGGTGTTGGTAGACTGAGCTCTCAGGTTGTCCTTTTCTTCATTCGAGATAGCCTGACTTCTTATACAATACTTTCTCCACATCTTTGATAATTGTGGGTATCGGTATCTCCTTCCTCGTAAGTGGGAGACCAAACTTTGGACCCAAACCAAGGATAATTTACACTTCTTCAGGAAACTGGACACCAGAGTAGTTGTAGAGGTAGTTTTTACCCACTTTAAGGCAAATTTCATTTTGTGTCTGTTCCAAGGATATAAGTTTTTTTATGATGATTTCTTCATTAGTTTTGAGAAGCTTGTTTAGACATTTCAAAGCATTTTAATTTTATATTGTATTATTTTGAATTCAGTTTGAATGCCATGGAAACATTTTTAATAACGACACAAGTTTGAGAAACCTCTGAAACGAATTAACAATTTCTTTCCTAACTTTGAAATAATTTGTGAACGTTCTCTTTTAATTGTTTTCCGTTCAGGGTCCTTATTCTTGAAACAGGGGAGCAGCGTTCCCAGGAGAACGAGTGTTCCGTCTTTCTCAATGAAATGCAGCTGATAATATAAGTAACAATTAACAGTCATCAGTCATCACTCATCACCAAAAGAAAAATCTATGGTCCCATCACTACTATTAATATAACCTAATAAATCAGCTGTGAAAAACAGCTGGCTAAACATTCAAATTTAAAATAACGATTTTTTTGGGAAAATTGATTGCTATCCCTAAAATATGTTGAGAAGTGCCCTTGTCCATTCCGAATGGAGTCCAGAAACAATAGTTTAAGTAAGTGCTGTTTGTTTTTTTCTCTTAAAAAGTGTAATTAATTCCCAAAATAATTATTGTTGTACTAAGTGCCTGTATTTCCTTTTCCTGGGCTTGAAAAAGGAAAAATATATTCCGAAACGTTGCCGAAAGCTTGATAGTTTCTTCTTTTTTAGTCCTGTCGTCTAACCCACGAAAGTAAAACATGTCTTACATTAGGTACTTGGTACTTTATATTTGCGGTAATAACGAAATGTCAGACCCAATCACCTTCTTTGAAGACCAAAACTACGGCCAGCGGCTTCTAATAAATTAGTTTATTATTATCGCATTATTTTTTTTTCTTTCAGAATTTCTCCTAGCATTTGTTGGTTTTCAGATCGGTACCTAATTGTCTTCTCGATCCCAAATTTTTCCTTATCTGGTATATTTTCGGAATCCACTCTTTTGGTTTTTCGCAGGTTACCTATCGATTTATGTCTTCACTTTCACTTCGGGATTTTGCTTTGGACTGCCATAGGTCGCAATAGAAGCTTTCCACAACTGAAGCGATTTTGCTTTTATGATGCTCATTGTCTTATTGGCACTACTAAGTCCTGGGTTTAAGCGTTTTAAGCCTACTTCTCTTCTACGATTTCTTCCATAATTGCTCCGCCGTTTATCTCTATGCTTTCTTCGAGAGTTGCTTGGATTATTTTATTGATTCCTCTATATTCCGTTGTATTTTTGAAAGTTATGCGTTTAATCTATCCCTGGGGATTCATAAACTTCATCCTTTTGTCGACCAACTTTTTCCGTTCAAAGGTAACCCTAATATGGTTGGTTCCATATTCTGTAGGTTCTTTTTTTAAAGAAACTATTGACAGGATACAGATTAAGTTGGTCTTTATTGAGCATCTCTTCCCTCTTATTTCTGAATTCGTACCGAAGTTGTCAATTTTCTATTCGGAGTTCTCCTAGGTCGCCGGCACAAGCATGCAGCCTTCATACAGGGTGGAATTTTTAAATGGAATGAATTCAGTATCAGAAAGCCTGTTTATTTTCTGGAAAAAAAAAAAAAAACGGGTCCCTTTATTTTTAGTTTGGCACATTTTTTCGGCCTTTTCATGGAATTTACCCCTCGCTTAAGGATAGAAACCACCCCCAACTTTTATTTTTTCAAATGTAAAGATATGTATTGTGACAGCTCGTTGGAATAGGCATGAAAAAGGAAAATGGCCATATTTTACTTTTGCATTTAGGTGATCTAGGAAGCGAGAAAAAACTAATAACATATTTTTCCACACAATTTTTCTACAGTTTAAATTGTTGAATATCTTCAGCATTTCTTCTTGGTAGAACCCTAATGCGAAAGAAGCCCCATTTGTAACGTTACCTATGTAATTAATTCTGACGCTAACACACTATTTGATGCCTGATACTCGGATTCTCAACCCTAAAATAGTGTATTAATATCAAAAATAATTACATAACTAGATCACCGAAATGCAAAAGTGAATAATGGTTCATATTCCTTTTTTTTATGCCCATTCCAACGAGCTATCACAATACATATCTTTACATTTGAAAAAAAAAAAGTTGGGGGTGGTTTCTACCTTTAAGAGAGGGGTAAATTCCATGAAAAGGCCGAAAAAATGTGCGAAACTAGAAAATAAACAGGCTTTCTGATACTGAATTTATTCTATTTAAAAATTCCATCCTGTATATATGGCTGTTGATAGTTGTCCAAGGAAAATTTGTAGATATTCGTCCTTGCTTGGCACAAGATTGGTACATGGAACTTGATGAGCTTAAGAGATATGGTCTTATTGATGTTGAGGATGATGTATCCAACTCTATTGGAATCAGCGTTAAACGTCTTTTCTTATCATAAACCTTGGGTCTCCGTAAGTTTTATTTCCTAGGCCTTTATAGTAGAGACCGTTCCCTGATTTTTTCAAGTGTTCGTCTTTTGCCATGGATCAGATAGGATAGGCATGTGTACAGTTTGCTAGTTCCTTGGACTTCCCAATTTGTGATTTAGTGGTATGAAATCATTGGGGAGAATAGCCTCTGTATAGTATCTAGAGTCTAGTGCAAAAATAGGGAAAAAGTATTGAACTGATCTCTGAAAGGATAGGTATTGTTTGCGGTATTCCTGCTCACAGTGCTTATACCCACGTTATCATTTTTTATTGTCTACTACCCCATTATGTTAGATAGTTTTATGGAAGGAAAAATCAAAGATTCTCCTATTTCTCCTATGGTACTTTGGTATAATTAATTTTTGTAGTTTTGCATAAAGTTCTAAAATATCAGGGAGATTTCGCTTTACTCGAGATGCAAGTGCTCACGAATTAGTTACTTGCATTTTATCATTCAATCAATAATTGGTAAATCAGATCTTGTTGTTACAGACCATTTCCACAAGTATCCGTATGGACAAGATTAGATTAGAACATTCCTTGCATAGCTTTAATGGACTCTCAAGATAAAATAAGGACAGGTAGCAAGATGGCTGGAGAAGTTACAGCGATAGGTTCAATTTTTAGATCAAACACCGAATGGAGAGTGGAGATGGTAGAAATCGTCAAAATGCAATTGGTCTTGATGCCTAGAACAAAAGTTGTTCAAGTTTTAGAAGAAGTTCACAATGGGACATCCGGAGCTCACTTGGGAGTCAACAAGACCTTGGACAAGATCCGTGAGAAATTCTTGGTCTTGCTTCTAAGAACCAAGACTAGTCTTATGGTCTCGCAAAGCCCTACACCTTATAGATTATGTTAAACAAAAATATTTACTTACAACTATTTACTTGTTATTGGCCTGCATTCTCCCTGACATTTACTTTACGTTTACAAGCTGTTTCAATGAGGCACTCAACAATATAATATATTTCCTAACTGGTGCGGAAAGTACCACTCAGTGCGGAAAAGTAACGAAAAAGCACTAGTGGTGAAAAGTACACTTTTTCGCAAGGTCGTAGAAAAAAAAACATTTATCAATTTCTAAGCGTTTATATCGGAAATTCCTTACTCTTGATGCTAACAAAAACGTTCTCTTGGCTCTAGGCAATCCACGGGAGATGCCTCAGAAACCATCTCTTTCGACGTGAGACTATAGGAAATGTAAACTTTAAATGAATGTTGAAGTCTCTTGCTACTAGCAGGTTTGCATTGTTTCCATAGCTGTGGTGTTTCCTTAAATTTAATGCTTCAAGAAGGTGTCGAGGTATCCCGAGGGTGAACGAAAATAAATTGACATAGATAAATAGATATATTCAACAAAGATATATCAAGAGCAGATTTCGCGGGGATTAGCATTTCTCCTCCGAAGGGACTTCACCTCAATGAATACGCAATAACCTTGAAGCCCTGGATCTGAGAACCCTTGATCCCTGATTGATTCAGCTTTGTGGAACATATTCCTTTCCAAGTCTTGGGTAAAGAGAAATGCTCAACAAATTTCTATTGCAGGAATCGAACTTATATGTATACATGAGTATGTTGACTTTCCTTTTGGGTTTTCTAAGCGGATGGTCTCGGCATCTCTTTGTCCTTGGGATTTTCGTGACATTTTTCAATGTATTAAAATTAATTCGGAAGATGATGAAAGTGTTGCTTTGCTTTATAATTCCAAGTAAATTTCAGGAAAGCTCTGAGAATAGGAACCAGTGATCCTATAGAGCACTTTGTCTATAGGATCCAACGTAGTCCTAAATGGACTTAATTACTGAAAATTAAATGTCCCGTATTGTCTACTTGATTTCAGGTATTTCCATTATGATTTGTGGATTAAGTACATTTGCTATTATTGGAAAAAGGCCCCGTTTGATGTTTTGTTTTTCAGGAAATAAAATTCAACTGGTGCTAAGGAAGGCATAAAACTTCATTAACTATTTATTAGCTATTAACAGCTTAATGAGAGAAGTAAACAACAGACTTGAACCAGTGTTAGTAGGTACTTCTATCAGAAAGGCCCTCTTCTATGTTGCTGACAATACCTATACCTATTTTTATTCATTTCTTTGCCAATACCCCCTAGCTTCGACCCCCATGTCGCCCTATAGAACAGTGCCATGAGAATAAAAATAAATATTTAAGAAAAATTTTATTAAAATTTCATATTTCTATCACAGAAATTTACATTTTTTTTAGAATAAAATGGCGCATTCAAACTATAAAAGTAAAGTGAAGAATAATTGGTGGTAAATCCTTAAAAATAATTTACTAAACGTTATGGGTATGGAAAACATATGATTTTTTTAAAAATATGTACTCAAAAATATGGAGAGAATTCAGACCAGGACAAATGGCAGAATATTATGTAAACTAATATATATAAGTTGTCCTTTTTGAAATGAAGTATTAGCAAATTATTCTACCCTTGTATGTTTTATGAAATTGGGTTTGACATAGAATAATGATTCTCGCTGATAACTACACAACATTCTAGAATTTGTTTTAGCAATCATTCCATGTCAGATTCTAAAATACTTTTTATTGGATTCTTTCTGTAGATTGCAGGTTTGTGGTTTGTTTCTTGTTAAGCAGCGCACAATTTTGAATATTAATGCAGACCGGCAAGACGCAAGACTAATATTTGACAAATAGTTTTTCTAAAATTAACATATAAAATCCTTAAGTTTATTCTACAAAGGAAACAATTCGTCATAGGTAAACCTCTCGGTAATAACATTAGCGATATCGGTAAACTTTTGGGCTAATGAATTTTCCAGAACCGGCTTGATTTCGTTGACGAACAAATCGGCATTGTCTCTGACTACTTCATTGGTGGCCTGGGACAAAGTAGGATTTTGTCCGGAAAACAAATTACCTAAATGAATATCGCTGTGGCCTATGTACAAATTAAGACCGAACTTTCTGAAGTGGAGATATTGTTTTCCATTTTTTTCTGTAAGGTCACCTTTCATCATACAATCGAATTTGTAGTTTGCTGAAAAATAATTGATGGGATTTAGTTAAAATTTGGTGTTTCCGTCAATATTTGGTTACTTACTGAAATTTCCAGTGATCGGTCCTTTTCCTTTATATTTGAGAATCAGAACGCTCATATCAATGTCATATTCGCCCTTAAAGTATATGTTTGGTACGTTGACTCGAAATATGAAGCGGTTTTTCTTTAGATTTGTCCTAGAAAAAAAAAAAAAGAAAACTCACTTAATTTTAAGTCAAACCTGACAGACGCGTATCAAGGCCAGGTGAATAAAAAAAGAGTGGGACAAAATTCAAGTGGACCTGAGGATTTAGAACTCTTTTTTTCGGATGAATTCCCGTCTGTTCCTGTCCAGGCATAACAGGGGCTACAACTTACCCCACGACCGGTGGCCCAGCGTCAAATCACCCCCCTCATCGGGCACAAAATTTTCATTATAGATACTCGAAACACTTTATCATTCGTAACCAAAAACCGCCCGTCTGCCAGCGATGGGTGGTAGCCCGCTCCCGTGACCGCCCCTCAAATAAGGGAATTTTGATCAAAAACCCCCCTTACGAGTACACAAATGAAATTTTTTGGGCATGTAGAGAATTATATTAGAAACCTAAAAACACGCGGCCTTCCAGTGGTAGCCCGTCTAGGGCAGACGCCTTCCAGTGGTAGCTCGTCCAGGGCAGACGACCTAGACGAAATATATGACGTAAAACTACCCTTACGAGTACATTCAGAAAATTTTGTAGTCTTAAACAGTCAGATTGGTGTGCTAAAAATTCATGGCAAACGCCTTCAAGTGATAGCCTGTTTAAGACAAAATTACGCTGAAGCGTTTCTTATTATGGATAAAGACATTAAATAAAACTACAACATAAGTATTAGGGACAAAAACACAGATTTATGTATTATTCAAGAGTACTTAGCATTAATAATGATAAATAGGAGTTACAGATTATATAGGAACACGGTAGAGTAATGAATTTCCCAGACCTAACTTCACCAGAGAGTCATTACAGGGGGAAGTCGATAATTTGTTTGAAAATTCTTGAAAAATTAATAATGCTTTGTAGGGATTTTTTGTCATTTCAGAAAGAAAGAATTGACCTTTAATCGCACCCGAGAATACTTTCTTTTGTCAAGTTAGGTCTGGGAAAGTCACTACGGGGACTAAAAAGGTCGCTTATCGCATAAGTTTTTCCCCTCTCTGATATTTTTTTCTGTTTGCCCATCAGTTGAAGTGCCTGATCGATATTTCATAAACTTCATAAATCTATCCCTCCAAATTCCTAGAATTCTCTTAGCTTCACGCATAAATATGTTTTTTGGATATTGGTTTTCAGTGTCATGGAATGTGACTGACCTAACTTTAGGTGCAACCTTGAATCTTTGCCAATCCTGAACAAATGAACCGATTTGGGATTATTTTAGATTGCAGCCCTTTTCTTCTTTCATCGAAGCTAGAATTTTTTTCAGATTTTTCAAAGAAATAAAATAAAAAAATTGTGAAGACATTTTTTACAAAATCTCGAAGCGTGTAAACACTGTGAAAAGTGCAGTTTTACAAAAATAGTTTGTATTCTTTCTAAACAACAAATCCCTTAAATAGTCCGATTTCCTATTACCTGGACTGCGCGCGTCGCTTGTAGGCTGCAGTTGAGCGTCCAATGAGAAACAAGTTTGTTACAGGCTGGCGTCATATTCTTATTCAGGGAATAGTTCAGAATGAATCGTTCCTTCTTTCTTTGTAACGTCTAATGCCACAAAGAGCAAACTAATACTTTACATATTACTTGAAGTCACCGCAGGGTCGTTTTTGCAACTTCATTGAGCGATGCTGCCGGATGAAACATTTATCAAAATAGAAGTGCAAACGATGTTCATCCACTTTAAAGCTCTTCTTTTGTCTGATTTAAGGCGTTGTAAAACACTTGACACTATATCACTTCTTTAATGTTATATTGTTCGATTTGTATTGTCTACATTTGTTCTGCAACAATAGAGTCTGGCTACACTGCAGCCCCCAGTTGCGCGCGCATGTCATGTTTTATTACTTTCTAATTTGTATTTATTACAATTATCAAGCTCTCTTTTCCTGAACATGCGAGATAGGTCTATTATATTTAATTTTCTGAGAATTTACAAAAAAATTATCGACATCTCGCCGTAGCGACTCTCCCACCAGAATCAACTTGACTAGAGAAAATATTCTCGAATGAGCTTAAGGGTCAACTCTATCATCCTTAAGCTTCAAAAAATCCCTAAAAAGCATCAATAAATCCCTACAAAGCATCAATAATTTTTCACGAATTTTCAAACAAATTATCGACTTTCTTCCGTAGTGAGTCTCGCAGACCTAATTTTGACTGCAAAAACTATTCTTGACTTTGCTTATGGTCAACTCCATCATCCTCAAACTTCAAAGAATGCCTACAAAGCATCATTAATTTTTCACGAATTTTCAAACAAACTATCGACTGCCCCTCGTAGTGACCCTCCCAGACCTAACTTGACCGCAAAAACTATTCTGGACTGTGTTCAAGATTCAACTCTATCATCCTCAAACTTCAAAAATCCCTACAAAGCATCATTAATTTTTCACGAATTTTCCAACAAATTATCGACTTCCACCTGTAGTGACTCTCCCAGACCTAACTTGACTGCAAAAACTATTCCTGACTGTGCTTAAGAGTCAACTCTATCATCCTCAAACTTCAAAAAATCCGTACAAAGCATCATTAATTTTTCACGAATTTTCCAACAAATTCTCGACTTCCCCCCGTAATGACTCTCTAGTGAAGTTAGGTCTGGGAAATTCATTACTCTACCGTGTTCCTATATAATCTGTAACTCCTATTTATCATTATAAATGCTAAGTACTCTCGAATAATACATAAATCTGTGTTTATGTCCCTAATACTTATGTTGTAGTTTTATCTAATGTCTTTATCCATAATAAGAAACGCTTCAGCGTAATTTTGTCTTTGACATGCTACCACTCGAAGGCGTTTGCCATGCATTTTTAGCACACCAATCTGACTGTTTAAGTCTACAAAATTTTCTGAATGTACTCGTAAGGGGAGTTTTACGTCATATATTTTTTTTAAGGTCGTCTACCCTAGACGAGCTACCACTGGAAGGCGTCTGCCCTAGACGGGCTACCACTGGAAGGCGTCTGCCGCGTGTTTTTAGGTTTCTAATATAATTCTCTACATGCCCAAAAAATTTCATTTGTGTACTCGTAAGGGGGGTTTTTGATCAAAATTCCCTTATTTGGGGGGCGGTCACGGGAGCGGGCTACCACCCATCGCTGGCAGCGTTTTGGTTACGAATGATAAAGTGTTTCGAGTATCTATAATGAAAATTTTGTGCCCGATGAGGGGGGTAATTTGACGCTGGGCCACCGGTCTAAGATAGCTATTTCAGACAAGCCGAAGTGCAACTTTTTCATAGTTGCAGGCAAGCACTTTGCCGCGGTAGAAAATATACTTATTATAATAATAAGTGTTTCTACTGTAACCGGAAAAAAATATTAGTAGCAGCAAGGAACTTTACTGTTACGACCAAGGCACATTTGCTAACTTAGTAAAGTGCGTTCTACTACTACAATAGGATCCTTTTGCAATTACAGCTAAAATTTCTGCTATGATAGCCGAAAATACATTCAGTAAAGATTTTTTGGCTAGAGGATTTCTCAGTGCAGAATCAACAGAAATAATAAACCGAGAAATTTTACAAAGCTTTTGCACCACCAAATTAACATCGAAAAATGACAACGATAATAAAATGGATTGCAGTGCGATGGATGTCTGCAGACGATCGCAGAAGGTGTGCGCTGGTCTAATAGGAAACGCGACGTCAGATATAATTTGACAAGCCCTATATGATTAGCGCTCCATGAAGCGATAGACAATGTTCGCTGGCCTAATAGGAAATGCGATGCCAGATATAATTTTACAAGTCCTAAAGGGTTAGCGCTCCATGTAGCGGTAACCAAATAGGAAACGGAAAAATGCGATCGGGAGGATAAATTGATTGAAAATTCTGCTTTTCATGTATTGGAGCATCTCGGGATTCCCAAGAATCCATTGTAGCTCACCAATTCGTTGCCATTTTAATACCAATTCCTCTTCTAGATATTTTAGCAGCTTGATTTTCTTTCTCGATTATTGGGGTTTTGTATTTCCATCGTTTTTGATCTTCTAAAGACTCATCTTCTCTGGAGCTTCAGTCAGATATTTGTTCATAGCGGGCTCCATAATTTGCATTTCTTCAAATGTTGTATCAATTAGAACAAAATCATCTTCATACCAGAAATGGTTGTTTTCTGTAGTTGATACCTACTGGCTCAAATCCAACGATCTGAAAAAATCTTCGAATGCCACTGTAAAGGATGCGCCAGCTACGAGTTATCATCGTGCCGATCTGTATGGCGACAGTTTTTGATTGTAGGCTTATTGTCATTGTTGTGTGTAGAAATTATCTAGTTGTCCGAAGCGTGTGTCTACTTTATGAAACGCCTTCTTGTAGTCGATGAAGGCCACGGCAAATGATCTTTATCGTTTCGATTTTTCGATATGTACAACCCATGAGGTTTTTAAGAATTTATTCAGGTTATTGGATTCAACGGTTTAAGATTCAGTAAGGGCCGATAATGTCACAGCAGGAATCCTTTCAACTGGTGAACGATAGAAGACGAAGAAGGCGTAAAAATCGCGGTACTGGAAGAATAGAAGCAAACTTCGAAGGTGGAGATAGAAGAGCATGGCTCTACATAAGCAGAGTCAAAAGAACTGCTTATGAGGAAATAACAAAAAACTTCGTTCAACACAAAGATCAAGGTATTCAAATCACAGTGTATGAGATTTCCACAGAAGAAGACCAACTGAAGGCATTTCTTGTCTCCCCTTTAAAAAAAAAGACGGATTGTATGATAGTTCTTCCTGGCCAAGTTACATCAAAGTGGGAAGATTTAACTTCAACAAGCACAAGGATTTCCTGAGAAACTTAGGAAAAATTCCTGGCCTAGAGAGAGGAGGTAATTTTTTATAGATATAAATAGTCCCAAGGACACAATACAAAACGATGTTACTTGTAAGAAGTTGCAAACTCACTCTCATAATCTCTACATGTCATGTAAATATAAGGTCTCTTGTTCCCTCGTTTTCCGATGTGAGTGAACTGTTGCTAGATGAAAAATTCCATATTTTTGCAGTAACAGAAACATGGTTGTCACCAGACTATCCAGATGGGCTAATCAATGTTGATGGTTACCAGCTTCATCGTGCTGACCGTCCAGCCCGAGGAGGAGGAGTTTGTGCATATATTTCAGCTTGTATGAAGAGAAATATAATCGATATTTCACCAATGTTGGATACATTAAACTTACTCGAGCAATTGTGGATTGACATTCAATACAAAAGTAAGTCAATGTTACTTGGTGTGCTGTACAAGCCATCATTGGTGAATAACAATCACCTCACTTGTTTAGAAAGCATATTATCATTTCTAGCAATGTCATATGATTATGTAATTTTGATGGGCAACATAAATATAAACCCATTAGTTGGAAATGTAAAAAGCAACTATGTAGAGTCATTGCTACAAATGTTTGACCTGAAGCAAGTTGTTACAGATACAGCATCCAACAAGAATAAGCAGAAATAGTTGCAGCTTGATCGATGTAATTTGTGTAGACAACAGTCTAAATATTTTAAATAAAGAATGAAGGCTTTCACGGCCGGTCAAATCTAGCAAAAAAGTTTTTTCCGGGCTATAATGCCGTGGTCCATTAGTATTTCTACCTAACGTTTCGTCTACTGCTGCGGTAGACATCTTCAGAGGCGGTGTGGTAGAGGACGAAGTGTTCTCTTCCGTGTTTCTCCGATGACTGAATTCGACGTTGAGGAAACTGCGTTATTTATATCCAGGGTTGTGGGCGTGGCTTGGATTACGGTATTTTCCTTGTCTCATTCTCGGAAAGGAAGGGTCTGTTTTTCGGAGAACTGGCAACCAGCTTTTATTGAGGTTCATGCCCTCTTCTTTTCTGTTGAAGTTGTTGTGGTGTTTCTGTATCTCTATGGCTTCTCTGTGGAGCCTGGTGTAGAAATGTTTGGTTCTATCCAATGTTTGAGTCTGGTCGAAATGAATGACATGGTTTGTTTGTGTAAGCACGTGTTCGGCGATTGCTGATCTATCTATTTGTCCTTGCTGACAGTTTCTTTTATGCTCTTTGACCCTAGTGTTGATAGAGCGTTTGGTTGGTCCTACATAGACAGATCCACAAGAGCAGGGAATTCTATAGACGCCAGCCGATTCAAGAGGTGCCTAGGATCCTTGGCCGATCTTAGACTTTGCTGAATTGTTCTTGTGAGCTTGTAGATAGGCTTAACGTTGTGTCTTTCTAGCGTTCGTCCTATGCGATCTGTGACATTTTTGATATAGGGAAGAAAGGCTCTTCCTGCCACCTGCTTTATTGCAGCAGTGATCTCTAAAATAATCAATATCTGCTTACGAACTTGTGAAGTACCGAGTCTCTTGAAATGTGCTGTTGTCAAACCCTAACCAAAAAATTCCAAGGTGAAGGATTTCTCAGAGCTAAGGCTAATTTGTCTTCTTCCAATCCTTGCCAAAATGCTAGAGTCAGTGGTATCGGACATGATCCTGGAATACATAGTAGACAAGAATATTCTGCCAGCGAACCAATATGGATTTCGTGAAAATCATAGCTCAGCAACAGCACTTACCACAGTAACGACAAATATTGCAACAAATATGGATTGTTCAATGGTCTCTTGCTTAGTGCTCCTATAGATTAGGTACAGCAAAGCGTTCGATTTGATTAACCATCAAATGCTTATTGCAAAAATGGGCTATTATGTTTTCTCTGATCGAGTATGCCAGTAGTTTTCGAGCTATCTTGAATCAAGAGCACAAATCGTCCCCCTTATCACGTAGAGGCATATCGAAATTCGTAATTTTTTTCAGGAGACGATAAAATGAAAAATGCACTATTTGTAATGTTATCTGGTGTTTTCATTTTTAAACAGATCATGGTCATTTCTCTACACTAAAACCTTATGTATATGCTCTCATAAGTATAAGGTACTGGACCCAAAATGGCTTCTATAGATTTTTTGGAAAAAAATAAAGTTTGCATATACGCCTCTACGTGATATATTTTTTTCTTTCTCAATAAGATAAGTCCTATAAAGGAAACTATAACAGATACCGTTACGCCATTTCGCGAGATCAAAAGTGTACCTCAGGAAAGCCTAAAATTGTTGAAAACGCAATTTCAGACTTTTGTGTTAGATACGCCCCTACGTGATAAGGGGGACGAAATGATCGAACTGGACGGAGCTAGGTGAAAGTCGGTAACAATGAGATGTGGAGCTCCCCAATGAAGCATTTTGAGACCCCTGCTATTCAACCTGTATACTAGTGACCTCCCAAATCGAGTAAGTACAATTTTGCGTTATGCGGATGATACACAACTCCTGGTAGGTTTCGCCCCGGAAGAGGCTTATGTTGCTCTGAATAGAGTTAATGCTGACCTAAACTCAGTTAATATATGGTCTAGAAACCATGGTCTTGTGCTTAATGCTTGTTGCCCTGTGTAGAATCTGTCAGAAATTTAGGTGTTATGTTTGATAAGCAACTTGATTCCCAGGCGCATGTAGGAATGAAACTGGTACCTGGTACCTGCCAAAACTAAGTTAATGGTAATAGAGACCTCATCTATCTTCAATTAGATTATAGACTGTGAGATAGGGACTGTTTAGTGGAGTCATTTTTTTTTGGCTGGCATTTTGAGGGCTGAATGTGACTAGATAGCTGATGAGAATATGGGTGATTTTAATGCCTGCCACCCGTTCGAAAATTTGGAGAAATTGATTTACATGAAGAATTTTTTTTTTTTGATCTCAAATTTTCTGGCTTTTAAGTAAAAGTTTGACATTGATAAATAAATCACCCATAAAAAGTCGGGATAGGTATCAACTTCCAAGAGAAAAGAAAAGAACCTTACGCGTTTACTTTTTCTCTGGCCATCGAGAGAATGAAAGGTTTTGTTGTGAAAATAACGCTGAAAAATCGCCAGACGGTAATCACAGTTCGAAATCGAGTTTTCCGGCGAAACGTCCTGTAGACATTTCGAACAGGAGGCAGGCATTAAAACCACTTATATTCTCATCAGCTAACTAGTCACATTTATCTCTCAAAATGCCAGACAAAAAAAATTACTCCACTAAACAGGCCCAATCTCAGGGTCTATTACCCACAAGCTTACTCCATTCGTTTGGAGAAAAAATAGCGTGTTGCAACTTGCATACGGAGTAGAAGCACTTTTTTGTGCTTCAGTAGTATTGCAAGCTTCTACTCCTAATACAACAATATACTATTTTTGTTGAAATCGAGGATGGTAAAAGTTCTGAATCAGGGTCCCCTAAAAACCATGAAAGAAGAATTTCAACCTAGTCTCCGAATTTCTTACTTCAAATCGATGATTTCGAATCCAGAAGGTCCCCATACTTTGGCATTGGTAATGTTGGCATCGATTTTGGCTTGTTCAGGCCCGCTTCTCAATTTGATTTCATCCAATAGTAAAGGTTCTATTGGTGGTACGTCAAGTTCTTGGATTCCAGTTTTTAGTTTGGATCTGAGCGACTCTACTGATTTGATAATGCATTCGTTGAGTTCCGGGTGGTTGCGGCTGCATACTTTTATGTAGGGAGCTGAAAATGGATGAAATGTGTTAATCATTGTTGTTGAAAAGAATATTTAATGATTAGTAGTATTCAGACTGTGAACCATGAAAGATTGTATGGAAACTTCCAAAATCCGAAATAAGGAAACTATTTTTGTAATTTATAGTAGTATTGATCCCTCACAGAAGTCTAATTGGCCCTAAAGGTTTTAAAACAATTTATCATTTTCCAGTAAATGATTATTTTAGAAGTCGAGAACAAAAATGGGTGGATACTTATTTCTTCTGCATTTACATATTTAATTTGTGTCGAGACAACTAGGATTCAGTTAAATGAGTATAATTTTGAAAATTATTTGTTCCTGTAATACCGACCAATAAAAATAATCAAGCGACCTTCCTTAGAACATTATAACAATCTATAATGTGCAACCAGAACTATTTACGTACTACTTAGGAAAAAAATATTATGCAAATTCAAATGAGGATAAATTAAATTAATTAATTATTGATGCAAAACTAAAACTCTGGTCCTATTATAAAGTACCTATAATTTATTCAGAAAAAAAAATCCATTAGGCAAATAATACTGGATAATAATGCAACAAAACAATAATAGGGTTTTACTAAATAATGGGGTTATAAATAACTATAAAAGCATTGCATAGTGGTGGATATGCATGAAAAAAATAATCATGTTTCTCCTCCTCAGTGAAGAGTGAGTGGGCCACCATACAGGCAAATAATAGCACTTTATTGCACACAAAAAAATCTATCAGCTTCTAAGCAAAGTAAATACAAAAAACAACAAGCCTTTTATTCCTTCCGCCTCACATCGTTCCTTCTTAAGGCGATGGAAAAGGCAGTAGATAATTATATTAGATCCGCTACAATGGAAAGGTGGCTGTTGGAATGCAAGTCAGCACGCCTACAGAGCAGGTATGGACACTGAGACAGCTCTGATCCAACTGACGAGACGAGCATGACACGAGAAACTCTGGACATCGCTGGTGCCTTTGACAACACATCTCATGTGGCCATTCGGAGAGTACTAACGAGAAGGGGAGTAAACGACACAATCAGTCATATGAATAAAATGTAGCAAATGCTTTTTTCTGCGATTGGCAAGATGTCAGCATTTTTTGGCCGATTGACAGGTCGCAAAACTTAATATTCTGGTATTTTAATCATGTTTCAATAGTTGCTTAGGAATCAATGAATAACAATACTGAAAACACTTTTCCGGCCTAGGCCGGGAAAGTGATTCTCGTACTGCTGAATAATTGGAACCAAAAAGACAAACATTTAACAGGTATTTAACTGATCGCCGAAAAAATAGTATGTGTATTTCGGTGGAAAAGCACATTATCTGCCTTCGGTATTTGCCGGCCTCGGCTACGCCTCGTCCGTCAACTTACACCGTCGGCCGAGAATGTGTCACTTTTCCACCTAAATACACAATATACTATTACTCTACCTCCATCTCCTTTTGCTGCATTTAAGCTGAATACTGAATATGTTTGTTTCAAAAAACTCAAATAGTAGCATTTGTTCCTGGTTTATTCATATGAGCCAGTATTTCGATGGATGTGTAAGATGCTTGCCACGAGGAAGCAGAGACTTCACTAGCCAATGAGTCTATTGAGGTGAGCACTACTCGAGGCACTCCCCAGGGGCCGGATTTTTGTCTAAGGGAGTAGAGCTCGCCGATAGAACGAATGTTTTGTCCTTGTCAACGTAATCGAAAAGTAAACGAGAATGATAAAGACGAAAAATTTGTTCTCCCGGGGAGCTCTACTCCCTGGCCCGAGAATCGATCTCCACGGGCGGAGTATGCTTACCCCTGGGTCCTTATTCTTGAAACAGGGGAGTAGCGTTCCCAGAAGAACGAGTGTTTCGTCTTTGTCAACGATATGCAACTGATGATATGAGTAACAAAGACGGAACACTCGTTCTCCTGGGAGCGCTGCTCCCCTGTTTCAAGAATAAGGACCCTGATGTGGAGCTTAGTGGAGGATGTTCTACTAGGAATGCTGAACAGCCTGTGCTTGCACTGCGGCGTTGGGTACTCACTTGGTTGGCTTGAAAGGAGAGAATCAGCATCTCTAGGCAAGCTTATTTCGCTCCTCGAGCTCCCCAGGGATAATAAGACCAATACATATAATGTTGAGGATGCTTTACAGTAGTCATAAAAAGCAGAGAAGAATGGAGAGGAAACAGCACATCGGTTCTTACAATGCAGCAGAAAGCTGGTATACTGATGCATCAAGAACTGAACAAAGGGACCGGAGCCAGAGTACTTGGGCCAGGAATCAAGTTCTCCTAAGCAATGGGAGAACACCCAGACATACTTCAGGCGGAAGTAAAGGCTACAACTGGATGTGCTAAGCTCAATCTTGACAGAAACTACAAAAAGAGAGAGATGGTAATATTCTCAGATAGTCAGCTAGCCATCAAAGCGCTGAGATCAGCAATAATCAGCTCCAGAATGGTTTGGGAGTCCCTAGATTAGTTAAACAAACTGGGCAACAATAACAAACCATCTCTCCAGTAGATACCGGGGATCGCAAGTAATGAGAAGGCGGACCAATTGGCAAAATTGGGAGCACAATTGCCACAAACTCCGATTTCAGAACCAGAGCCTTTCTGTGGCATAGGAACGCACACCTATAAGGAAGCGTTCAGAAAGGTAGCGCGGACCACATGACATTCATTTTTAGTTAGCTCTTGGCAGAATGATATTTTTTATTTGCATATACTATTTTACGATCTATTCCTAATAAATTAGGGGGAGACCACAAACAGAAAAGTAGATTAGTTTAGGGCTGACACGAGACGATATGAGAAACTTTAACACAGACACAGTAAGAGAATAACAAGAAGAAAATTGAAATCACAAAATAGTGAAAAATTATACTAAACTACATATATGCTGTAAAGAAGGAACAGGAAACAGAACTACCTACATTTATGTCCATGGTCCAATATTTCTATAAAAAAAAAACTTTATGATAAATCCATCGATTTACCCGTACTAAAAGATGCCTATGATCAGGAATTAAGTTGTAGAATATAGGTTTTATCACGCATGCATCATAATCAACGATTATCGCACGCTGCAGTGTGCATAAAATAATCGCATCATAAACATCATGATGCGTCTATCTTTTCAAAGGTTTGTTATAGAAACGTTTGCTCTACCATTATTACCTGGATATTTACCTGCCGTTTAAATGACTATTTATCAAAATAAATGAAGATATTTAAAACATATTTGAGATCATAATGCATTCGTGATAAAAAATAGCGGATGATATGCGCGTATCAGAGAATTTAAAGCCTCAAAAATTCCCTAAAATATGCCTCTCAGTCAGAAGCAGTAACACCATGATCAAAAAGGCGATTCATCAGGATTCATTCAATTATTAGTACACAAGTTATTTTCCCACATTTACCAATAAACTTTGCGAGCCAAATTTGCCGCTCACTGAAATTAGAATTTATCAAGCACGGAATAGCAGGGATTCAGTGGCCACTGAGCTGCATATTTCGTAAGAATAATTCCAAAAAATATGCAACCTACATTTACTTTGATTATATAAACAAGGCTGACACAAGCAAAGACTGATATAATCAAATTAAACAATTTTGAAATAATTTGTTATTATCTTTAATGCACACTAGAATGAGTCGAATGCAATTGGAGATTTCTGAATTTGAAGGACAACGCACGGCTAACATGGGATTTTTGGGATCTACGGATTTTACCATTTTTTTGATAATGTCGAGGAGAATTTAATTCTGAATAGGTCGGCATACACACACGTTATTTCGCGCGGTTTATCGTGGCGTGTTGGGATGTAGCGGTTTGCACGCGCGAAAGAACGGTGTGGCAAAAAAAGCGTCATGTTCCTCTCCGCAATAGCCTCAAAACCGTAACGTGGAATGGCGTGTGGACATGGTTGTGAATTGCAACTGCACTATCATGTACTTGAGTACTGACGTCACATTCCAGATGAAAGCACGTCTGAAATCCCTTCCCATTCTATCATTGCGTGTTGTCCTCCTCACTCACGCACATGATTTTCCACAGGTTTTTGCAGATGGCACGATAAACCGCGCGAAAGAACGTGTGTCTATGCCGGCCTAATCACCTTCAAATGGGACTAAATCTTGCACGCATTATGGTTTGTGAGATATAAGCGTTGAAAGATGAACTTTTTTGCAAAGAAATTACCCTAAGTATGTTGTAAGCTGCGATAACGATGATAGTATATTATGTAATGATCATGTTATGATAGCCATTAATACACGAGCATGTTGTAGGATACGAAACAAGCCGCAGGCGAGTTTCGTTTATAACATGCGAGTGTATTAATGGCCATTACATGAGAGTTGCATGCACTATTTCTTCTAAATACTTCCATTAATAAACGGAATACATATTTATTTTAGGAATAGTAAACTTCTCAACTAGTAGTGCCATCTATTGACAATTTCGAAAATTAAAATCTAGACGTCATTTGGGAATAAATTCCGCACCCGATTTAGTAATCTTTTGTTGTTTCGTTTGGTAAATACCGATAGAAACAATCCAAAATTTCATAACAAGTGTGTTATTTTTATGTAAACATTTTTCTTGTTCAAAATAACTCAATTCCAGTGGCTGAAAAATCTGTCGATATCATTATGAAAATCTGTATGAAGTTCATTATGAAACAGATTTTGATTGTTTAATAAGCGTATTATGAAACGTCAGTAGAAAAACATATTTTTTGAGTGACCTCAAAAAACTGAAATTATTTTGTGACCAAAATTAATACTTTAGTCCCTAACGTTAATAGTCTATAATAGTTATTTATACACCAAGTGAGTTAAATGAATATTTATTCATGAGAAGAAAGTTTAACCCACAAGCCCTAGCGAGTGGGTTAATTTTCTTCGAATGAATAAACATTTTAGCTCACGTGATGTATACAAAATTTTATCCCATTTTGATAGACATTTAAATTAATAGAAATCAAATTATAAAAATAATTCATTTAGCAGCATATGAAAGCGTCTAATATTGAAATTGGTGGTTGCTAGGTTATAACTAGTTGTTTGTTTGTATTTGCAGCAGATTCTATACTGGCAGAGGGACTTAAAAGACCGAGAGTGAGTTAAATAGTTATTTTTTATACAAGACGATGAAATGGTAGTTTATCGTTGACAGGAAAAGTTAATTCACGAGCGGAATCGCGAGTGAATTAATTCCGGAAAACGATAAGGGCATTTTATCGTCGTGTGTAAAACAAAGTTTTTTTCCCATAGCCTAATTATGGACGCCTGTAGTATCAAAAATATTTAGAAATTATTTGAGTCGAACACTTTTGCATAAGTAGAAATTCGTTTGACAAATAAATAAAAAACAAAATATGTACAGTCGTGAGCACAAAAAGTGGGACACCCGTTTTTTTCCTATTGTAAAATGTGCTCACCAGCTATACCTACGGTAATGACAGGAATTGTCATATTTGACAAAAAATCGATTGCAGAGAAAAGACTGATTTACGCAAAATAGCGAAAAATGACAAGACCTGTCAGTCGGGTGTCCCACTTTTTGTGCTCATGACATATTTTTGACACAATAAACGTCTTTATCTATCCTTGCTGTTAAAGCATCATTTAATCTACCATTGCGGTTAAAGTACTACTTTATCTACTATTTTTAGTAGATTAAAGGCTACTTTACCAGTAGCTATGGAAAAAAATATTTTAAATCACTTTTGCTATTAGGCGTTCAATAATGTCATTTTTTAACGTCAAAATGGAATAAAATATTAAAACCATCATTCATCTTAAATTATTGTCAAAAAGTCAATCGACTTGGTAGGTAAGAAATTAATGCTTAGTCACTAGATATTAGCATATATAACATTAGCATCAAAATACTAAACCCATTATTTGGACATTAAATCTGTATTAAGAAATAAACAACCTTCTTCATAATATGCCTGCTGATGGTGTATTTACTGACACAGGTAGCACTTTTATTATATGACAGTACGGCACACTTTCATTGCAATTTTGCAATATAAGTATCGAAAACTGGTTAAGTTTTAAACGAGAGCGGAATATTTTACATTTATTGGGAGGAATTTTTTTGGTTCATTCGGTCAATATTGCAATATTGAAATTTATTGATACCTAATTATGATATTTACAATTTATTTTATTGTATGAATTCAATGAGCAGCACATCTAAGTAATTATTTTTCTATGATAATGAGATGGAGACTGAAAGTCGAAACAGAAGAGTCTAAAAAATCTTTTTTCCTATCGGGAAGAATTTTTTAGATATTTATAAAAAATTGAATGACACAATGTTTGGTTGTTCCACAGAATACAATTTTTTTAGCGGCAATTCATATTTTATGCGTTATGATGAGCGTTTATTCGATATCGTGTTATTACCTAGGTACCTGATAGGTCCAGTACAACGCAGTATTAGATACTACTATGTTTGAAGAAAGTTATATGAAAACTCTTGAAGCCATAAGGCAATTATTGAAATTTTGATTGATTTCAATCGCCTAACTCAGAAAATTTACATGGCAATTAACGTTTTAAGCAGGACTATTGTCTCAATTGCCCTATAGAATCCAGGAGACATAAAAATATTTTTGAATTTAAATTGTTGAATTGTCTCCACGTTTTCTCTCTGATATGACCAAACACTTAAACGTTATTTTTATAAAAGTAAATATTCGCAGAAAAATCGAGTCAATATTACAACAAACCAAATATTGTTATTATTTTTCCATGTTTACTTACTATATAACATCCTCTAGCTTATTCTTGGAAACTTGATAGACTGACCCTCGTATGTAATTAATAATAGCATCACCATAACAGTATAAATCGACATACCAAAGCTATATTTGATTTGATTTAATTGGCCGTCAAAGTTCTATAGGCACCAACATCAGGCAGTGAAAAACGAAACCATCAAGAGAGTTTACGAAGATATATACAAAGCAATGAAATTTCGAATACGACTACGTAATAATTGGAGATGTGGAATGCGAAAAGAGGAAGAAGCCGGAAGATCCGCAGGGCCTGTTGGAATAGGTCAACCAAATGAAAGAGGTCAAGTTTAATTTCAGTAAAACTTGTAATTTGTACCTATAGAAACTATAAAAATCTTTTCCAAGAAGAAAGGAAAGAAGACTTAGATGTTACCAAACGGCAAAACTAAAAATGAAATTGAATTTATTTCAGCATCACGAAGTCATAGAATGACATGACAGATGTAACCATAGAAAAACGATTTCCAATGCGTCGTCATCACAGGATGGTAAGGGCTTCTTACAGAGAACCAGAACGAACAAAGTAAGAATAAATAAAAGATAAAGAGTGAGCTTTTGAAACGAAGATCAATGGAATATTATAAGTAACTACAAAGGACTCTTTTTCGCTTTAGTAATTTCCATCATTTCCAGTAAATTCAGTTTATGCCTTTGTTGAAAAAATATGGACATTTTCCATAGAGAAATATTTTTTGGAGGACAGAAAATATTTTGCGAAAGCTGACTGGGTGTTAGAAATGTTCGAGTCTTTGTATTTCGATATTCAGCTGACCTTGAAAGCAATTACACTTAAAAACCAGAATGTTGTTTAACAGCATTCCGATTGTCTCAGAATTTAACCGGTTTATAAGAAGATGAATCACTCAATCATTGTTGTTATTGAATAGTATATTGTGTATTTAGGTGGAAAAGTGACACATTCTCGGCCGACGGTGTAAGTTGACGGGCGAGGCGTAGCCGAGGCCGGCAAACAGCGAAGGCCGAAAATGTGCTTTTCCACCGAAATACACATACTACTTTTTCTGCGATCGGTTAAATACCTGTTGAATGTTTGTCTTTTGGTTCCAATTATTCAGCAGTACGAGAATCACTTTCTCGGCCTAGGCCGGAAAAGTGTTTCCCGTATTGTTATTCATTGATTCCTTAGCAACTATTGAAACATAATTGAAATACCAGAATAATGAATTTTGCGACCTGTCAACCGGTCAAAAATGCTGACATTTCTTGTCAATCGCAGGAAAAAGTATTTTGTAGAATAACTTACTATAATAATATAGGTACTACTCAATGTTCGGAATCAAAATGAACGAATTAAAATACACAATAGAAGATTGGAAGTATTGGAACCAATAATACTATTATGGTGTTGAGACCCTGTTGAAGACGAAATAGAAATAAGTTGAAAAGCAACTTATAAAAAGAATTAGATATATTAAATATAGCACTACGAGATACATAATCAATCGGGTGGAAGATAAATAACACACATGAGACTCATGAGAGACATGCAACAAAACATAATTTGAAAAGCAAAATGGCATTGGGCAGGACATATCACCAAAATGGCCTCGTGAGATAATGGAGAAAAAGGGGGCAAAACCAAGAGCTAAGTTGACTATGTCCTCTCATAACAAACAGATCTAGGTAACATTAAAAATGTGACCGTAGGTACTAAATAATTTCCCAAAAGTTATCTGGGACCTATATTCAATTTATCACCAGAAATTAGTGGAATAAAGAGGGCACTGGAGGAAATGAAAAATAGCAAACCGTCGAGAAAAGATGGGATAAATGTGGATATGCCAAGGAATAGAGAGAAAATCATAATTGATTTCATTTATATCCCAATGAGGAATAAAATATTTAACGCAAAAATTATATCTAGATACTGAATACTTAACTGGAAAGAAGCAATAAATGCGTTATTCTTCGAAAAAGGAGGCAGAAAGGATGTAAAGAATCAGACTCCAGACACAGGTCTTCTCAATGCTATGTATAAACTATTAACAAAAATAATGACAAATAGATTAAAATCCAAATTGAAGAGCTAGCAGGTAACAGAACAAGCTGGACCAATTAACAAAATTGCAGATGATTAGTGAATAACTACTGAGAAATTAAGATTTTTTTTTTTGATTACTGTAATGTCGGATAATTAAAAATTAGCCTGTACTACTTACTTTGAAACCTACAAAGCCATTAATATTGAATCGATTTATCTAGAAAATTCAATATTCGACATAATTTTATAACCATCAAGTACCTACCAAGTTTAGTTTCTTTGACCTAAAGATTAATAAAATTCTATGAACAATTTTTACAATTCGGTATTTTCAACCAAATACTAAAACAACCAGCCTCTAAAAGCATTTAAAAAAATAATAATTAAGTGGCCATTGCAACAGAAATGTATCATTATTTTCTCATGTGAGCAAAAAAATCTCATTTTAATCATAATCTATAACCGCAATAATGCAACATTTCTAATTTGCATTTGCCATTTAAACAATATTATATAACGCCTTCGATTATTAATTTTTAGCACTTGATTACATAAAAATCAAAGAAATAAGCAGATAATATAATAAAAACAAATAAACTTACGTATTGTGGCATAAACTGTCCAAAACAGCGAACATACTAAAATCACAATTATTGATTGTTTCATTGTTGCCAATTAATATCGCAAAAGTGTGTACCGTACCGCGCCAAGCCTACCCAGTATCTAATTTGCGACCATAAAATAATGTTAACTTTCGAGTTTGGTACCCTCTACAAGTGAGCTGCTTTTATTTGTCAACAAACCCACGGCTAATTCACCAGTATTTTTTTAATATCTATTTGAATGCTATCATTGGAGGTGGCGTTTTGGTTATTTCCTTGGTACTGCCATTAGGAAGAATAGGTAGGTACCTACCATAAGAATGTCAAGGAATTTTCTAATATGTCGATCTTCTTTATTTATTTTATTTTTAATTGCTTTCTATGCTAGACGAATGCAAATTAATTGTCCAAATAGAATTAATTTAATTCGTGTTTTCTTTTGTTGGCACTTCCGGATTCTTCGTAACATGTATACGAACATTAGCAACAAAAGTGTTTTTCTTCAACCTAACATTTTTACACTAGTTTCATGATTTTGAAGTTTACCTTTTCTGTCCTATGGAGGTCACCATGGAACGGTCCTAATAGTGTTTTTACTCTTGTCTAAGGTTTTAACTGCCGCTGGAAGCGGAGGTAAAAATACTTTTACTGTCACTGCCAGAGTATAACGCATTTTTTTTTTGATAGGCTCATGCAATACCTAGGCATTGGCAATATCTACTCACAATTAGGACGATTGTATCTTTTTTTTTATATCTAATAAACGTGAGTTTTGGAGAAAAAAATATGATGTTTCATTCCCAGTAGATAATCAAGGAACCAATTTCAAGGAAAGAGGCTCAGATAGCACGTTCCCTTAATTTCCTCTTCATCATAATTATCTACAATTCTATCCTCATTCGTTTTCTTTTTTTATTTTCTATTTCCCTTGCACGGGTTACGCCCCATTTTTCCCAAGTCGTCTCTATTCCGACCAATCTATATTATTCATCTAGACCTGCCACTCGTTTGATGTAACCATACTGCGCGTGATTGACCTTTCTCGATTTCTGCTCGAGCCCGACTATCTTCCGGTCTCCAGTCTCCATTTCAAAATTTGTTGTCATATTTCTTTCTCTATCTCTCTGTAGCAGCCCTTCCATGTCAACTTCTGGACATAGTCCCCCCACCTACTTCCACCTTATTATATAGAAACTTTAGAATGTCCTGTACTTCGGAGTTTATTGAAGTTTGTATTCTAGAGATTTTCTTTTAATTCAATTTACTTGTTTAAAGCAGTCAGTGCAGATCAAAATAGAGAAAATTAGGTACATCAGAGTTACTTTCATTGATGGTCTTACTTCTTCTCATATAAGGCAGAGGATTTTGGAACATTATGTAGGTACCTACTTTGAGCTTAACCAAAAATAATCCTACTCCGGAGTAGGATTATCTTTGGTCTAACACTAACACAAGCATTTGATATTGTTAGAGCACTTGAAATGCCTCAGCATCATTCCGAATTTTATCTTACACCTTTCTGTTCAAATATGAATGCTGCGATCTCTCATCAAACTCCTGACAATTCTTCTTCGAATGTACAGATCGAAAATGACCATGCTATAGCAGCTGTCGCTTCTAAATGCTATTTTTGTGGTAGATCTTAATATCCCAGAGATAAATGTCCAGCAAAAAATTCTATTTGTTTCAACTGCGGCAAGAAAAGTCATTTCACCCAGGATTGAAGATATGGTCGACCGAATTTCTCAGTATGAATATTTCAGTTCGATATAATCTTCATAGTGCATATCACCAGATACCAATTCTAGAGCATGAACGTATATAAATTGCTTTTGAAGCATGTGGAAATATGTACCAATTCACTCGAATTTATTTTGGGGTGACTAATGGCGGTTGCTTGATTTCAGAGAAATATGAATAAAATTATCAAACAAGAACATTTAGAAGAGACATGCGTTTCTTGATGACGTAACCATCTGTGGTAAAAATAAAGAACATCATGATACACACCTTAAACGATTCTTAGATATTGTTAAGGAATATAGTACGACGCTTAACAAAGAGAAATGCAAATTTAGAATGACTAAAATTATTATTGTAGGGCATAAAATAGAACGAAAATCAATCAAACCAGATATAGACAGACTAAAACCACTGATTCAGATGCCCCTACCTACAAATACTGCTCTGCTCAGGAGAGTTTAAGGGATATTTGCCCACTATTCCAAATTCATTCATAAGTTTTCTGAGATAACACATCCACTGATTGAAGTAAAAAAGTTTCCATTGTCTGATTTTGAAGCTGCTGCATTTGAACAGTTGAAGAATTACATTCAAAACGCTGTTATTTCCATTGACGATAAAGCCGCTTTAACTGTTGAAACTGATGCATCGGAATATGCTATTGCCCTTCAACTTACACAATCTGGGAAACCAGTGGCGTTTTTCTCTAGAACATTGACGAAATCGGAACAGCGACATTCTTATGTAGAAAAAGAAGCCTATGTAGTCGAAGCACTCCGTAAATGGAAACATTTTTTGATCAAACGTTACTTTAAGCTCGTTACTGACCAGAAATTGGTTGCTTTTATGTTTAATTCATTAAGTACCTAATTCTTAAATCAGAGATGGAAAAATAATGCGGTGGAGTCTTGAATTATCATCTCAAAATATGATATCATATACAGATCTGGAAATCAAAACATAATTGGAGATACGTTTTTAAGAATATCTTCTAGTGACAAAACATTGTATACCTAATCATATATTATATCACAAGAGCTTTAAATTTAATCGATTAAACTATCTAACATATTTTGAGCATGATTTTGCTTGGAAAATAGTTGAATGCACAATAACTTAATAAAAGTTATTGTGAATTAAAGTATTTGCCAAAAAGCAAAATTATGCAAAAAATATTTGGATAGTTTAATCCATTTAAATTTATAGGTCGAGTGGTATACGGCTAGATTATTTCCTGAATAAATAGGATTGAATTGTTGGCGTCAATCCTATCCAAAGATTTCTATTTATTATAAAATGTCAGAATATTTCCATCAAAATTCTGTCAAAAAAGGTAAACAAAAATGTGATCGCTGATAAACAAGGTCTTGTGAAATAATCACTTATTTAAACAAGATTCATTCAAAAAATGACGTTGTCTGATGGGTCTATTTTATAATGAATGAAATAATCAATAGTAATATAACTAGTGCAATGGAAATTATTGATAATTTTTGGGAAATTTGCTCGAATGCATTTTTAGTTGAAAAAGGGCACGAGTGCACGTAGTTTACGAGTGCCTTTTTCAGCTAAAAACGCATGAGTGCAAATTTGTCGAAAATTATAAATATATTTCCATTGCACGAGTTGTATTTAATGAGAGAATTTCATAAATCAAAAATTTAAATTTTTTGTCAAAAAATGTCAAAACACCAGTTTTCGCACCAGTTAGTATACAATTATCTGATAATTTGCACTAGTGCAAATTATCGCGTAATTACAATCTGATTGGTTCAAATCAACAATCAAAACATGTCAATTTATTGTTGGAATACCAGTTTTGACAGATGTATGAAATTCTCTACATAATTCTCTCTGTCATCCTGACAGAGTAATACCAGACTCTATAGGGCATGTCCATGTGACGTCACAAATGAGTTTGACAGTCGCCCTGAGGTAAAACAAATCATTTATTTACATTCGTGTAGATTAGGCCGGTTATGTTTTACGCGGTTTTTACAGCTTTTTTACAATTTTTGGTGTTATTTTGTTTAAAAAAAGTTAGAGCGGAGTGTTTGTGTTCCAGTCTATGTGGTGGTTTATCCAAAAGTTTGCTAGGTTTTCCTATAATGGATTGAATTCAGGTTTTTTCAAACAAATATCAAAACCAAGTGTCTCAAGAACAAATGTGTTCTATTTTTCTGTCAGATCTTCTCTTTTAACAACATTAATCAATTTTTCTCTTCTTTCTTGAGCTAACAAATCAAACCTCCCATTGTTATTTGAAATTGATGGAAACCTATGGAAGGATATTGTATCCCTTTCGCTATACTGCCACAATTAACAACTAAACAAACTCTAGGCATGCCCAATAAGAAACTTCTGGAGCACACAAAAGGTATTTATTTTAAAAAATCTAACTAAAAACTTAAAAAACACTGTAAATTATATCCTTGTTTTACCTCAAGGCGACTGTCAATAGTGTCAAACTGTCAGATCGTGTACTTGCCCTATTACTGGGTCTGATGTCAAAATCTACCTTCTCACTAGAAAATGTCAAGAGAATTTCAACCACCTGTCCCGTTTGTGCTAAGATAAAACCAAGGTTCCAAAGAAATCAAAGGACCATCATAAAAGCTACTGCTTTCGAAAGAATAGATTTTCAAAAGGTCCCTTGCCATCTGAGAACCAAAGTCGCTATATTTTGACTATTGTGGATGAATTTTCTAGATTCCCAATTGCTTTTGCTTGTCCTGACATGACATCATTAGCCATTATAAATTGCATCATAGAATGCAGAATAAATAGACATGAACCTAATAATCAAAACAACGACCAACGTAGTGTACCTGATCCCATGCAACAGTTTAATTACGATTATTCTGATGTTGGAAATCTTGATGGGACACTTGTAACACCATTAAGTAATCTAGACGATGATGTTGTAGAAAATATAACGGACCATGCTTCGAACCGATTAAAACATCTAAATAAGCTGACCATTTGAAAGATTATGAAACCGATTAGAGATGAATGATGGGTGAATGTTATATAGAGACTTTTAGAATGTCCTGTACTTTGTACCTTTGTTATCATTATTATTTGTCAACCTTGATAGTCCAGGAGGCAGTGAATTGTTTTAGCACTTATTTTCCCAGTTGGTGTCTATTAAATAGTTTGTTCTCCTGGTGATACAAAGCAAGAATTTTTGAGTCTGGCTTAAGTTTTCGGATGGGTTTACAAGATCAATGAACAATACAAGTACGCTTATTTTCCCAGATATAAATATTTCACATTTACTACAATAGAACATAAAGTATATGAAAATAGCAATTTGGCTTATCTCAGATACCTAGTGAAAGTGAGTCTGGCTGAAAATTTTCGGATCTTCAATTTTTCACTTGCCAGACATATTATCCATACTCAATTACTCA